CGGAGCTTGGGTTGACAACGTGGGCTCAAGCCTTGTTTGATCCAACCGAAAGAGGCTAATGTGTTGTCTTGACAACCTCCCAAATGGGCGGGCGATTTGAGGTTGATTGACACCGGCATTCGCCTCGAGAGGGTTTCAAGTTTCCATGTTCTGTTTGGTTGGTTCTGGAGCCGCTAGAAATGGTCAGCCCCTAAAAGGTTCTCTAAGAAAGGGGCCCAGGTTTACTGCAAATCGTAACGAGGCAGCTTGAAGCTTGATACACCTGAATGTCGGGCCCTGCCCTCAACAGCGGATGTCCGCACTTTCGCACTCAGTGCCGATGTTTGGCTGAGTGGAACACCCCGCCGAAGTTTGATGTTGGCACCCACTAGCAGTGGATCAACCACCGCTAAAACGGTCTTCCAAACTGTGGTGACTCTTAGTGAGTGTCTTGGGGAAGGGCTCAATCTTTCTGAGCATGCTGGCAGAAGGAACGGTGAAAAGGGTAAGAGCTGCTCATTTGGTGCCGGAGGTGTCACAGGGCCATGTTCAAGCGTCTTGCATTTCACTTGCTCACTGAACGAGACTAAAACCGCAGGGGCTCTAAATTGTCCAGTTTGCATGTGTGATTTACTTGTGTTTTTCTCCCCTCGGTTGGTGTTAGGCGAAAAAAGGACTGGCGATGTTAAGGTTCTTGAGTTCAGCCATAGCGGGTGGTTTCCGTGAACCCAAGTGGATCCAAGGCGTTTTGCCACCGACAACCCTTCGTCATTTTTCTGTTGGTTTCGAGAGGGTTCGATTCCCCTTCTATACAGGTAGATGGAGTCCCTGCGAAAACTCAACTCAGAGCCCAAAGAACCAGCCAGGAACACATGAGCAAAAAGGCAAAAGCAAAGAGTCACAGCCAACTGGTTGATTTTGCACGGAGATTACCATGGCTCGTAGAGGAGTGTTCATGTCTGAGATGTGGTCAGAATGTCCTGATTTGTCCATAGTCCATTTTCGAGGAACATGGGAGTCTATCTGAATTGTCTGCAAAAGCTGGGGGGGGCACTCACCAAATGTCCCTTCCACTTGTAAGTCAGCACAGTGTTGGATATGAGGCGCGTCAAAAACGCCTCACCAATTGTCAAACCTTCATTTAAAAGGGGAGGCGTCCAAGTACAGAAGTTGGCATCCCCTTCTTTCTCACCCCCGTGAATGGTAGGTATTGTTAAACCAATGTCGCAAGTATTGTGACCACAAGAAACCAAGCCACCAAGTTGAAGGTTCCGGTTTCGCCAGGAACCGACCAGAATGGCCAGCTATGTCGTTGCCGATCAGGCCGGGGATGTTGATCAGGTGAAGTTGAGAAGACTTTGGAGTCTGTACCAGAATATGGGGTTTAGAAGGGATGAACCGCGAATCACTAAGCTGTGATTTTGCAGGTTAGTCACAGGAGCAGAATGTTACCGCAGCAAATTCCAAGTAAGAGAATCTTCCTCAACAGCTCCCCCCGTGTTTCTTGAGAGATATGTTCCTTTCGCGTAATTCAACCTGGAATTCGCATCATCCGGCAGAGGCGTCACCCAAAAGCCGGGGCGGTAGCTTAGACATATTGAGGATATCCTCCCAAACAAGTACTTTCTATCATCTTCTAGGCACCATCACACAGGTGCTGTGTGTTAGTGTGTTCCTTGTGAAGCCCGTGCTTTCGGTTCTTTAGGCAAATGAGCGCCCATGCTAGGTGCGGAGAACATGTTGTCCAAACGGGGTCGTGCTTTGGAGTTTGTACCCTATTTGGGGTTGCATCCCCTCTAAAGTCGGACACCTCCTCTGAATCAACCACAAGTCTAGAATCCTGGCTTCAACTACAGTGCACCAACCAAACTCACACCGGTCCCTGAAGGGAAACCTTGATTGGAATCCCCAAATGATTTCTTGGTATATGTGCCATCTTGGCTCTATGTCAGGGTCGCCCTTAAGGAACCAGTGTGGGCTTTGTGGGTGCACAGCTTTGCACGAGCTTGCGCCCCCTGAATGACTCAAGCTAGCGCAGTGGCCAAGCTCTAAAAAGGTTCGCCTTCCTTCTGGGTTCCGCTGCCGATTTTCATCGAAAGTGGCCGAAGGCAGAGGATCGGTGGGGCTTCTCCTTAAGAGGATTTGGTTGGCACACAATCCTTCGAGAAACATGAAGCCCGCACACGTCCCTCTGAAACAAAACCCGCGGTTGCGTTGCGCTATACTGTCTTTTTGTTGAAACTTGCCCCCGAGCTTTGCCGGCAAGTTTGCTACTCTTACGAAAGCAGTACTAAGAAGCGTTCCCGGAAGGGCGGGGGGGTTGGCAATGATATGCAATGATGGTAGTTGCATAACCGATTCTCCCTAAGTTCATATCATGGCAGTAGCTATGTGCCCCATTTTCCAATGGTCATCTCATTTATCCTCCCCTTTTAGGCTTGATTTTCTTGCCAGAAGAGTTGCAACCCAAGGAGTCCAAGAGCACTTCCGCCCTTTCAGGTCCCTTTCAACGTGCCCTTTGATTGTCAGCTGACGGCCCAACCTGCCCCATTCTTTCAGAAGGCGGGTGTAGCTTCGCTCTACAAGTTTCCGACGCCGGTCCGCAGGCATTGGACGCCGACCAGAATGACTTTGTGGCGTCGGTGAATTCCATCATCCTCTCGCAGGGGTCCTTGGCGCTTTGGTGATTGGCGAGGGCTTTTTTTTGGCTGGAGACTGGGGTCTGAAGTTTGTTGAGCGACCAGACCCTGGCCTCCCTTCAACATGTTTAAACGGGTGAAATGGATCTTGGTACCAGGCGCCATGTTAGTTGGAAGAGTACGGAGACTCCAGTCCTTTTTGCCCTGGGCAAGTGGGGCCATCAGGACAGCCGAGTGAGGTACCCCTTGAAGCCCTCCTGGCTAAGTTCACCTACACCTATGCAAAGCGGGGGAATCTGGATGCTGTTCGTCTTGCAACCATGGCCTTGCAACGATTGATGTGACCTTTCGAAAATTCATCCTGTGTGTCGGGCAGCTTTCCTCAATGACGAGAGATGAAACCCTGCACGTGGACAGGTAAGAACCCTCGTGGCTTTTGCCTTTCCCGGGCGTGGCTCACGCAAGGTGAACCATGGACTGTGTTGACTGTTGTTTTGTTGCTTTCTTTATGGGCCACCACCCAAAGGGGCACAACATTGACTTCCGTGGGCTGGTATGGTTGTCCATGGTTCGAGTTGGTGCCCAGTTCGTGTTTGTTCAAACCGAAGCCGGAACGAAACCCATGCATTTAGGCACTTCGCAATGGATGGAAGGCACGAAATAAATTGCTGACTTTGTTGGGCCTACCTTAACAAGGAAAAAGCAAGGTGCATCCGACAGCTTGAGCGGTCCCACTTGAACCCGCCCAACTTGGGTGGTGCGACAAGGTGTTACGCTGTCCGAGCATCTAACCGTTACTCCATGCCATTGCCTTCTGGAGAAAAACGAAAACAAGATTCGTCATACTCCTGAAGCATAGTAAACATCCCACATGTTGTCTCCAGAATAGAACATGTATGAAACGGGCCCCTGTAATCAAGTACCCTCACTCTTTGCTTAGACCATAGCAGAGGTTTTCAACAGACCCCATGTCCGCCCAGGGGATCCTTGTTGGCCCTTGTCGGCATTGGCTACAGGATCAACACGTGGGAGCGCCTGTCCGGGAAGCGCGCTTTTGGTCCGTGGTTTGCCTGAGTTGCTCAAAATCAATGCTGAACCCTTCTGCCAGATGGTTGTGGTTTCTACACACTTGTTTCCTTGTTTGCGGTGTGGCTTTCCTTTTTTAACATCCACCAGCAAAAGAGCGGTGCAGAGTTTTCCCGTGGCTGGTACAGCTGCAAATGCTTTTGTGTGTACTTGTTGGTGTGGGTCATGGCTTTCTGGTGTGCATGAGATCCGCTTTGCGTTGTTTGTAGCAGCTGCAAAGTGGTTGGAGCCCAAAGGGGTCGGAACACATTTTTGCTTGTGCGCGCATGTTTCTGAGGGTACCCTTTTGTAGGTTGGTTACAGGGAAACGCCACCATTTTTGGGTTAGCCGCATGTCTTGTGACTGACTCCGCCTTACCGCCGGAAAATGGCGATTACACCTCTCAGGGATGGTCCGTGGAACTCCAGAAACGGGTCCACCAAAGCACAATCAGCTTTGTTCTCGCCCCCTGGCCTCCTATATAGGCCATTCTAAAGGTGTTCATAGCGATTTGGAGATGAAGAAACCGAGACCAGTGCTCATCCCAGCGGCGAAGTGCATGTTTTACTCAGCTTGGCGGTTCCAAGCCATACCCTGAAACTATTGGATTCTCGTGTAGAGAGTTTTGTGAAATATCCGAATCACAAAGTAAGCCTGTCAATAACAAACTGCGGAACCCTTCCGTTAGCGTAGCCCAGCGCCGCTTTGGACCACTCCGGAGCTTATTTGGGCGGAGACCCCATATCTTTCAGCTGTTAGAGAACAATATTTAGCAAGGATCAACGGCCATTGTCTAGTGGATTCTAGCATGACTTTCATTTTTGCTTGTAGGCTTCCCTGTAACGCTTCCATCTCAGCTGGTTATCATGAAGCGGCTCTTTGTGGCACCCTGTTTCCCTTTTTGCTAGGATCCTGGGCAACTTGGTTTCAGGCGACTTGCGACAGTTTGAGGATCTAGAACTCTGCAGCCAAGTGGCCCATCAGCGAGCTGGCTGAAGCATGACGCGCCTAGCGAACGGACTTGCAGAACGAATGCCGTTCCACCAGCAAATCCAGAGGACCATCGAAGACCCAATGTCAATTGCGAAAGGTCGACTTCTGCCCTGTTCGTCTCAACAAGGACCAATCATTTGCGGGGGACAAGTGGTTCAACTTTTGGCCGCTTTCCGTAAATGTCAATGCCTCCAAAAGAGGCCACCATTTGCCAAAACTACACCGCTCATTGATTTCTCAAATGCCATTGGATTGGCCCCCTCTATTGTGCGAAAGACGCGATACACACAGCCCCTCCAACCTGAGATTTAGCATCCAAACTCATGCCGCCCCTGGCCTGCGGCACATGGCATGCGCCGCTCTCGAGGCGAGAAATGCAGGGAGCCGTGGGCGAAATTCAAAACGTTTTGATGTCCTTTTGGTTTGGCCATTTTTGGGTGATTCAGTCACGGCCACACAAGACCATCGCCTGTCTGTTTATTTCGGCAGCGGCAAGTGCGCTTGAGTCGGAAAACCCACCAACAAAAGAGAAGCATCGAGGCGCGCTGGGCTCTGCTTAGGAGTCAGATGAAGATTTTCGACCTTAGGTTGAAGAGATCCTGCTCCCAGTTGTCCAAAGCAATCGGTTGAATCTGACCTTCTGCCTTTGTTACTCTTTTCTTTGCCGGTGTCCCATCAAAATCAACGAAGCGCCAAAACGGGTGTCCGGTTGTCGCCCTGGCCACTGGGGGGTCTGGTTTTCTCGTATAGGTTTGGAGGCAAGGTGCGGGCCAAGCAAGACTGGAAACGACAAGTGCCGATGGATGTGCAAGCATTCCATGTCTAATTGTTGATTCTTTACGCGTGCGTAGTGGACAAGAACCAGAGGCAAACAGGCAACATGTCAGCTGGGCAAGCGCCTACAGACTCCTCTTCTACCAGAGCGGTATTTGTCAGTCGTGTTTGCATGTGTCCTTTAATCCCTGACTGGCGCTCATGCTTGCCAAGAGGGCTGGGCCAACCCCCGTTGTAAACATGTTGAAGCAACTAGGTTTTATGTATTTAAGAAATATCGTGTTGGTTTTCATTTTTCCCCCCCACCCTGTTTGCGCCATTCAACATTCATTCTCCATCGAATTATCCGGCTGCCCCTTCATGGTTGCGGGGAAGGAACCTTTGGCTCATTTGCAATAAGATCCGCCTTCGCTTTGGTATCACGACCATGTGCCATGCCCTTCCTCAACAATATGCCACCCGGCGCCACTTGCATGCGGTGTTTGGGGTGGGGCGCTGTGACCACAGTTGGGCAAGCTTGCATATGATGTATGTGTGGCGATGACACTGAAAAGTGCGGTGAGTGCCTTTGTTACATGTTCAGCATGTTTCTTTGGAAGGTAAAACACATGTTCGCATTTGCTGCGGCATGTCATGTACGCGCACGCTGCCTCGCCAAAGCAAGCCCTCTAAGCATGTGCACGAAGGGCGGCATTCGACCTCCGAAACACCGTCCCCACCCCTGGCTTTCCCCCCACCCGAACTCACTAACCTCCGCAACGTCTGACCTTGTTGTCCCCCGCCTTTTGTTTCCAGGCAAGCCCTATGTGGAATTGTCCCAAGCCAAGCCGAGTGGGGGGGGGAGCTTTTGATGGAATCTTCCTTGGCCCATTCAGAAGTGACATCCTCAAAATGACTTGCTATAGATTCCGTTAGATTCCAGTAGATAGATTTCTCATTTCGGGGGCGGGTTGAAAGGGCCTCATTTGACTCATTTGACCCTCCCATCACTGCTGCGGAGGCCTCCGCCTTCTGCTCGGACAGCGCTGCCTTCGAATCCCAAGCGGCGGCCGGTGACTTGAACCCGAAGCGATGCTGACCGATTGCTGAAGCGGTTAGTTGTGAGTAACAAGGAAGCTGGGCAGAGAGTGAAATCTGGGCGCACTAGCAATATTTCTGGAAGCCTGTCCCCGTGGTTATCCCATAAGTTTGCTAGTGAAGGGACCGTGGACCGATGAACAAAACTCCACTCATGAAGGGAGGGTCCCGTTTGAGTGGGATTCATTTCTCCTGGGTCGGCCGAGATCCTTGACTACAAATTGGGGCTTTATGAATGTGAAGTCAACATTAAGCATAATGTTCACCTGAGCTTCCATTTCCCTGTAAAGCCCAAAAGGGACCGCCCGTTAAAGGCTAAAGGCCAAATTGCCGTCGACCTACAAAACTGGTACTTGAAAGAAGTTGTTTATATATAAAAGTCTATGATATGTGTTTTGAGGGTGACAGTCAGTTTTTCAGGTTGGCTTAAAGATAGAGCAAAAGGACAGCCACTGTTCTTGTAGTTCTTCTTTCTTGTTTTATTTCATTTGTTCTTTCTTTTTTGGGGCGGATCACCCTATATTCACGCATAAGTACACGTGTGTGTTGTGTGTGTGGGTCAATGAGTACGTATATACATAGCAAGAGAGAGAGAGAGAGAGAAACATGGGAAAGGGATTATTGATTTACATACAGCAGCATTGTATCCAGAAGCTATTTGAAGATCCTACTTTGCGAGCAGAAGCCACAAGGAGGATGGGATGATTCTCTAATTTGCCTTTCCGAAGCTCAACTGCTTCCCTTGGGTGTAGTGGCAACAAGCAAGCATCGAGTCGGGATGGACCATACTTGCCTAGTCTTTCTCGTTTCCGAACAATGTGTGGAAACATGAACAACATTGCCCTGGGTACCCCTTCCCATGCATCCTCCTTATGGTTATGCAGTTATACATCCATTTCTCTCGGTTTGGGGGAGTATGATATATTGCCTCTGGACACGACGAGACTGAGCAATCGATTTAGTGCCGGTGGACAGCGCCCGTAGTCAGCTTGCCGAAAAAGGACCCTTACCGTCCACATCCGACTGAGCTGCTTTTGACGAGAGCAAGTTGGACCGGGCACAACACAGAATCCCTCAAAATCAAAGGCTCCCTGGATTACCTCAAGGCACAATCAAAGCACGGCAATTTGAGGGTGTAGATGATTTGGATTGGTTTGGCAAAGGGCAGGTGTTGATCATGACTTAACGTCAGGGGGTCCATTTCCCAGTATGTTCCAACCATTAGACAACATAGCAAATTGCTCATCCTTACTGTGGATGGACAAACTCCACTTCACACCAGTTGAAATGGACAAATTCCCATGGTTTCTGTTGGGATAAACCTCCAATGTGACAGAAAGCAGGCACGCATGTTTCACAACAATGCCCCTGCTCTTGTGGTTGGGGTGTTTGTTATTATTTTCATCAACAAACAAACAAAGGTTTGGGCTATGTGTTTTCGGATGATTGTGACGCTTTTGGCAGCTGTTTCCGCGTTCTGTGGGCTAGGCAGCATTTTGGGCAGTTGTTGGCTCTCCACCCCTTGTTTGACATGGTTGGGGCTGTGTTTGTTCTATACATCAACCCAAATAGGCTATTTGTTGTCGGATGACTGTGACGTGTTTGGCGGGTGTTTCTGCGTTCTTTGGATTAGGCAGCCATTTGGGGGCAGTTGTCTGACACCCGAGTAATGGACCCCATAAACCCCAGGTTGGTTTTGGTTGCGGTGCGTCCCATTTCAAGGTGCATCCTTCACTTTTCAGGGAAAGTTGCACTCAAAAAAGAAAAAAGGAAAAAACACCTACAGGTTGATTCATCCGGGATATCGTTGTCCTCATTTGACATCGGCCCAAAGACCCCGCGAGCCATGCGGCCGAGCCGAAGAACCGCCAGCCCCCCGACGGGACGCGCCCCGCGCCGAGGTGAGCTTCGCTTCGGAGCGCTTCGACCCCCGGGAGCCAAAGCCATCCCCTGACGCCAAGCTGGAGGTGCTTGTGGCCCCTCGGCCTCGCTCGCGCCGAAGAGGTGGTTCTTTGTGTGGGGCGCAAGCAACGAAAATGGACCGTCTTTTGTTGGTTTCCCGCTGGAGCCACACAAACTGAATGGAATTTGTGTGGATCTTAATGAATTATGATGTTGGCGTGTCCCTTGGGATGAAGGACACTTTTGGATTGCCCTTTTCCTTGGGATTCTCCAAACCGAATTCAAAAGTGCTTTTGGTTTGGTTCTGGTCGTTCATCAGCGCCGCTCGATTCGTCCAAAGAACCTCAGGTAGCAGCCACCGCAATCCTTACCGTTTTGTTTTTCTGTTTGCAGGGGAAGGGTCCCAGCTCCCCACAAAACCCAGTGATTCCATTTACACAAGCAACCAAGGGAACCACCATTTAAACACAAAAAGGAACATGGCGACGGGTTACCGGCTGTCGTGGTAACGAGTTCCCAAATTGTCAACCTCAACAATGGTTCTCTGTTTCTACCTTCTGGGTCACAGGATGCAAATTGGGGCAAGGAGTGTCCTTTACTGGAGGAGTCCCTGATTTCCGTTTTGGGAATTCTACCTCCATGCAAATGAGCAGGCTCGAGGAATCGTGTTTTTGGAAAGCCCCTTGTTTGGGGCCCCGATTGTACGTAAACGCGCGCTCAACGCTCGGCCACCCCCACTGGAATATCGCATTCATGCTCGTTTTTATACACGTTTTCATAGGGTTTGCTGCCAGAGGCCCAGGAGGGGTTTCGGGGGGGTTCCGGGGGGTTTCGGGGGGGGTGTTTGGGGGGGTTTCGGGGGGGGGGGGGGTTCGGGTTTGGGGGGGTTTCGGGGGGGTTCGGGGGGTGTTACCGTTCAGGACAACCTGCGTGTTTGCATGCACCATGTTGACCTGAGTTCAAGATCGCTTGACATAAAGGGTTCTTACACATGATCAGCATGCAAACAGCGAATCACGCTGTTTGATTTCTACATGTCCTTGCATCAAGTGCATCATGGCTTGTTTCGTCCGTGGGCTGGAACTGCACTGGACAATTATGCCCAGTTCGTGATGCAGCTGCCGGTCAATGAGTGGTGCCCACTCACCGAGATTCATCAAGCCGCATCCGTGCTGGCTTGCACAGCCAGTATCTCTGAAGAACATTTAGGCAGCTTGGCCTCGTTGAACGTGATCGAATTCAAAACTCATGTTCGCATTCCGCTGAGCTCATGCGCTCTCGCGCCAGTGACGCCGCCAACTAAGCCCATACCCGAAAGTTTTTTCCTTGCTGTGCGATGTTAGACTGCCGCTTAATGTAAACGGCCCTGCCCACCTAGTGGACTTGCTTAAGCGCCGCGAGGCGGTGGGCAGGGACCCTGTTTTCGGGGAACCCCCTAATAATAATGGTCCCACGCGGTGATGACAGGCGAGAGAACGTTGCTGCCGTGCCATGTGTTGAAACAGCTTGAACATGTGTGTTGGCCATGCAGGATTATTAATCTTTTTTGTGTGTTGGCCATGGACGCTCATGTAGATCAGTTGTCGGCCATGCGCTTGCTGGAAGCACCTGGTCTCCAGAACTTGCTTGAAGCCTGCGCCTTGCTGCGGAAATCTAGGTGCAGCAAGTTAGGCTGTGCTCCGAAATGCTACATGGACCTAAGCCAAGACAAAGCCTGGCTATGGGATTAGGTATGAAAACGTGGGTGAAAAAGACCATGGCGGCTGCCTGCTAAGGGGATTCACACATCCTGGGGCGCGCGTTTACGGCCAATCGGCGCGTTTTGGGGTGCCATGTTAATTGAAGGGACCTCGCAATATGGCGATGAGCAATTGCACTCATGATTCTCTTATGCGCACTTGATTGTGTCGCAAATTCCCCCACACCACTACTTCTTGAGCGGCCCTTTTAATCTTATAGTATTGTGTTTGTGGCTTTGTACAGCTGGAACCCAATCTGCAGCTGAATCAACCAGCAGCCGACAAAACGGGAAACTCGGGCGGGAACCGTTTCGCACCACGTGATCGATGGCACCGAGGACGGGGGCGGCCTGGGTGGCCTCCTTTGCGCTGTACTGGCGGCGCAGATGCAAGGGCGCAAGCGCATCAGGCAGGCGCCCCAATGCCCCAACCGGGAGCTGGCAAAGGCCGAGACGAATTCAATGGACCAAGGGCTGAGCTTGGGGCTTGTCCAGGTGTGGTTGAGATTTGGTCATGGTCGCGAGAAGGTTCCATGTGTTCTTAATATGCAGCTATGGCTAGTCAATGTATTCATTGTTTTTCAGGTCCTTTGGGCTAGCGAGTGCACAGCTGTTCCGCCTCGCTTTGTCACACAGACAAACTGGTTCAACCCAAAGGGTCGGACTGCGCCTAGCCACTTGGCCTAATCGGAGTCTCCCCTGCCCAATTCAATCAGAGAGCACTTGATGGAAGGTTTGGTTGGACCATTCGAGATGTGGGGTGACGAAGTGGGTAGGGGTTTCGTCCTAATCCTTGCTCTGCCCCAGTCGCTTGTTTGTTTTCTCAACTTAAGCGGAAATCAACGAAATTGATGGCAATCAGAGGCCCCACCAAAGCTCATTCTGGTGTCGCTTGCAACTCCCTAATTTTTGGGACAGGTCCGCGGCAATCAGCCAAATGAACCCCTAGCGATAAAAGAACAAGCGAACTTGTTTGGTTTCCCTTCACACAACATTTCAATAGGCATCCCCAAGATTGGGGGAAACCCCATTATTGGCTCGCTTTACCTTTGAAACAGCCAATGGCTTCCTCCTGGGATTTCTTTCAAAGTTTGCGGATGTGTGCGGCATTTGAAGGTTCAACTCCCTAAATATGGAAACGTTAAACCTGTGCTTTTTTGTTGGCAAAAAGGGTGAAAGCTGACATAGAACTGTAGCCCCGTGACGCGTGGTTGTCTTTGAGCGCTTTTGCACGAGTGACTAACACAGTGCGAGCAGGCGTTTAGCTGATCGCTTAGATGCCTCCAGGCTGTCACCCGTTGAATCAGTAAACTTCAGCTTTTTGTTGATAGGTTTCCTCCTTTCAGTAGAGGCCGGGAAAGTGTGTGGAGGTTCCGGCCAGTGAACTGAGCCGGTCAACCTCTCTTGGAGGATTTCCACAACCCCCACGCCACGGGCGACCGAGGTGAAATTTGTTTGTAAACTGCTGACTACCCACAATTTGCGCAGTACCTTCCACAGCAGGCATCGACGGTCCCAGCAACTGTGAGCACTGAGAGAACGAACGTCAATGACTTCATGTAGTCTATGCTACCCCACGGCTGCGGTGTTGTTGCTAGGGTCTACGACGAGCGCTGGGCAGTGAAGGGGAACAAGGTGGGAGAGAGCTGGCAGAGAGACGGTTGGATTTGGGCAAGTAAGGCCAATGTTTTCGTGCTCAGTCATATGTTGTTTTTTCTTGGTAGTTCCAGCTGTTCTCTTAGGTTGTTTGGGTTTAGGGGGGTCCATTTTTCACCCACTAAAAGTTAAAGTTGAGTCCCTTACACGGTTCCTATTGTTGACACGCAGGCATGTGAGGTCCCCTCCTACTGGCTATATTGGAATCGTCCCAACCTAAACCTGATTTTGGGCGGCAAAGAAGCCATCTCTAGTTTCTTCTCTTTTTGGGGGGGGTGTCTTCCAAGGCAATGTCGACCCAAAGAATTCTGGGACCAATCCCAGAGTCTCCCTTGTTCCTTATCCAACTGGATCTGCAGAGTTGGAGATGCATGACGCACACGTCGCTTTCCACTGGGCCAAAAGGAAACCATGAGGCAATATTCAGGTAGATCATATAAGAATCCCCGACCAGTTGCCACCAGGCCCGAAGGCGTTGCTACAGAGTTTCATGGTTCTTGATTATCTTGTGTGAAGCTCCCAGAACTTGCGGATCTTTCCCATTGCTCGAGAAGACTGGCGGGACCCCTGAGATTCGTCTACAAGTGATGGTAAGCAAGATATGGCCTTAATCTGCGGGAGAGCAACAAACTTGAAACATGCCAACACCACACGGTATGACCCAAATTTGAGTCGGGTCCGACTGGACGTCCAGAATGCAGGCTCCCCCTCTCGAGTTCCTCAAACTACTCGCCCGCTGATTCACATGAACCCAAAAAGTGGAGGGTGGCCCCTAAAAGATGCCTGAGAATGCAGGATTTTTTTAGGGGCTTATTTTGGGAAAGGGGTGGGGTAGACCCTGGACTTCCCTCAAGATGAGGCCTTACTATTTTTTTGGAGGTGGAGGTTGGGGGAGAGGGGGTTGGAGTTGTATGGGCTTACTGACTCATTGAAAATTGTCCCATGGACCCAATTGCGTTCTAAGAGATGAGTTCTATGCCACACACATGACTCATTGATTGTCCTTTGGCGCACCCCTGTGTATTGTAACCCGTTCAGTGTCCCCTGAGGTGCAGTGGACCAAGTTGGACAACCGCGTGGTGAACATCCAAAGCAGCACCTGGAGTAAGCTGCCAGAGGACCTGGGGTTGCCCAGGGTGCTCAAACAAAACATCCACATGGGCGTCCGCCGATGTGAGACACTGCTGAGTGGCCAAACTTGAAACTTTGGGCTGGCAGGTCTTTTTACATAGAAGTCACGGGCCAAAAAGTTTAAAGTTATTTTGAGCAGTCGACCCAGCATGATAGTATGAGTAGTTGAAGTTGCGGTAGTCTTCTGTTGGCTTGGGGCGGAAGGGAAGGGGGGGACAATGCAAATTCCCGCATGAAAACCAGGGCTAGAGACCACCCAGTTGTCCAATATCCTTTTGCGGACAACTGTATGTTTATCCGTTGCTCATATGTGCCAGGTCAAAACTCGCGCTTCAGGTTTACGCAGCATAGAGCATAGACCCTTCAAAGGGAGAATTGTGACACCCATAAGGATTCCTACTAAGGCAAACATGTCGAGGACATGAGAATGTCACACATGAGGAGCCCTTTTCAATGAACTCCTTTCAACATAGCCCAACCATTTGATGCTTTAAACGACCTGAGCAAAAATAACATATTTTTGTGATGCCTGCCAGCCGCTCAGCTGAACTGCTGGATGCAAGCCTTGCCAGTGTCCTCTGGTGCACTCCAATGACTGTTGAACAGAAGGTGGAATTGACCTCTTGGACGTCGCAACAATTGTGGCATTGTTTTAGAAATTCCCTTTAGGGGGGATACCCCGTTCTTGGGTTCCTTGTCAAGAATACCTGTCCTTTTCAGGTCCTTTTGTCGCAAACATGAGCAACCACCATCAAAAATCGAAAGTGAAGCAGCACAGGCTACTAGTCAACCAGTGGTCCACGCATCCTTGGTGTGTGTAACTGTGTTTTGGTTTGGACCGCTTGGGTGGATCATCTAGGTGACTATCATCCGCTGTTTGAGGGTGGGGAGAAGAAGGGCTCAACGCAGGCCCCGGTTTTTTTCCAACAGATATGTCATCAAATATGTGTTTGCGAAAAGGCTTCGGCTTTTTTATTTGTTTGATCTGCCAATTTGTTGGTGTTTGCTCTTCCCCATTGTTGGCTACCAGTTGTAAAAGGCTAGGCTCTATAATATGTGTATATTATATATATATACTATATATATATATGTGTTCCAGTTCTTTGTTTGGAGCCATGAGGGCTGGTTGATGGAATACCCCTCCCACGGTGTCACACACAACAGTCCTTGGCAGGACCTGCGGCAGCGCCTGCCTTTTTCCGAGCAGTGGCCACTGCAGCGGGAGAGCCCTCAGTCCCTGGGCCCGCCCAAAAGTGCCTCGACCTGAAGGGCCTCAATAATTAGAACGGGGTTGCGGGGTACTTTAAGGCCAAATTTTGTCCGGAATTTACGGGTCAACTATGTAGGTATGTTTTATTCCCTTGTATCAGCTTTCTGTCATGGGTGGGTGGTTAGTTTTGTGGGATGGGTGGGTTTGTGGGGTCCGGGGGGGGGGGGGCGCTGCTTTCGTGTGATGACGCAGACTTTTGTCTTAAAGCCAACTTTGGTGAATAAACTAAAATGGACAAGCCAATGAGCGGAGAAGAGGTTGGAGAGTAGGAATCCACGTCGGCTGGAGCCCAAGTTGCAACTACAAGTCGTTGGCACCTCTGCCAACCTTCTCTGCGAAGCCCTTGCTACATGACAGCATGCAGTTCTCCGCCAGCTTGTTCGCGGGCCCGCCATCAAATCCCAGGTGCCAATCCAGTACCTCCTGAGCGGTTTTGCGGCAAGTGGCTAAGTGGCTGGAGATCATGCGATCGCACGTAGTTGGAGCTTGGGCCGCTCTGGGTCCGCGTGTGGCCTTGGCCTTGTGCCGTGTGTGGCCCGCAAGGGTGCGGCTGTAGTCGACGAAGTATGTCTCTGATGTCGCTGAGTGCGTTTGCTGATTTTATTGCTGCTTTCTTGTTCACTTGTTTGAATTTGAAAAGTAATTATTTGTTGTTATGCTTTCTCTGGGGGGCTATCTGCAGCTTGCTCGATTCTTCGCACTTGCATCGTAGCGTGGGCAAGTGAATAGCCGTGTGCGGCATCGTCATGCCGCAACATCCACTTGACCCATCCTTTTGGTACCATAGGTGCTTCTAGTACATGAGAAGAATTGTAGACCATACGTGTCCATTATACGGTTACGTCCCATGTTGCAAACAAACCAACCACACGACCATACGCCAACATTAGCTTGTTTGCTGCTTGCTTCTCATTTGGGGAATCCACAACCACCCCCCCCCCCGGCCCCCCTCAGAAAGGTGCTGGACACATCCGGAAGCCCCCAACCTCGCCTTGTGCCATAATCACTTAGACTGCATTTTGTAGCTCAAAACTGACAAGAAACCTTCACAGCCACCAAAAGCAGGTCCTCCCCCTCCGGAAGGAATTTGTGTTTCTTCAATCAGTCAGTTGAACCCCGAGGCGTTTTGGCGGCGGACCTGCAAGAGGCGGTGCTGAGTTTGGCGCAAGACACGCCATCCGTGGAGCTGCACGTGGGGAGCCCTTCGCTTGACCTCCTGCAGGAGGCGCCCAAAAGCGTGGATTGTGAGGCCAATATTGACCGAATTCAGCGGCACATTCCCTTGTTTGGCGGGTTGGGCACGGGAAAAAAAGGGTCAGCGCCCACAAAGGGGGTCCCTTTTCTGCCAGGGTGGCTGAACAACTGGGATGGGGACCTAAAATAATTAGAATGGGGGGGTCCTTGTAAAAACAACAGGGTAAAGATCACCTCACGATCATGGGAGAACCATGATTGTAATTCACCTGCATCGCACCTTTGTAAAACGGAAAGAACCCAAGAAGCAGATCCGTGTTTAGAGGAATGTCTTGTTTAAAACATGGATGCTTATTTTGGGCATCATGGATTGTACATGTTCGGGTTGTCCCAGGTTTGTAAACCTTGCGGACTACCCTTTTTAGGAAGGTTTTGGAGAACTATTATCCTTCCGAATTGGCCCTTGTTCACTTCCAGGATTGCTGAAAAAGGGCATTAGGGAGTGCTTCTCCGAAAGTGATTCGGATTGCCTGTTAATTGTTCGATTGGTTCGTCCTCCGCTCTTGTTCAGCAGAGCAGGGTCTATCAATCCTGGGGTCCTTTTTCTGGCGCGTCGTTTTTGCAGTAAGACGGTGGGCTGACTTTCCTTTGAGAAAGATGGACGTGCGCAGGGCCCCTATCCAAGCAGAAAGTAGGCTTCCAACAGGGGTCTGAGCACTCTTATGAAGCAACCACCTCCAACAACAGGGGCTCTTTTTTTTGGGCTTTTAGGAAGCATCCTTAAAGTGACTCAACTCCTGGCCGCTTCGTCCATGATCCCGAGCATTCCAGGTTGAATCGGTAATACTTCCGAGTCAAAATTAAAACCCGATTGTCCTCCTTCTTGTCTTTTCACATTTCTCCTCAACAAAAGATAGCCCAGGTTGGTTGCAATCATCTACTGGGTGCTAAATTTACCTCAACTGAAAGGGGGGGAAGGGACTCTTTCGTCAAGAACTTGTTGATTTATCTCCATTGCTTCAAAAGTTCCTCCCACTTGCTCATGTTTCTCCATGTTCAATGTGTATATATATATATACATGATATATAACTATATATATATATATATTATGTTTCCCTTTTTGCTTTTTCCCCCTCACCGCCATGTTTTTCCCTCGTTCGCGCCCCCGTTTTCCCAACGAGGACCCCTGCCACGCGGTGGTCTGCGGCCAACACCTCCGGGAGCGCCTCGGCTTCCCCGCGGCCACGGAGGAGCTGCGGAGCCCGCGGCAGGTGGCGGCGCTGCTGGAGGCGAGGTCGTTGGGGCCTCCGCAACGAGTTTTATTTTGGGTGGGATAGGCGGGTACTTAAAGGGGCTGTTACTTTATGACCCTTACCATGACGTTATAAGTCTCATAAGTGGGGTATAACCATGGATACTAAGCACTTGCTAAGTACCCTTCCCCTTTAAGTAGACCTTGAAAGAGAATCTGGAGGGGGTTACTCCCCTGCAAGAGAACCTGGAACCCAAGAAGGGGGTTTGCGAGACGGCAGTGTTGGAGAATCCATTTTCCGCAAGATTGCTGGGAAACGCGCTCCGGACTCGCAACACCCGACAATAGCAAGTGGGCCAGCCCGTATGGCCGGTATCATTGGTAACCGCAATTGCCCCGAAAGGGTGAGCGGAGGTCGTACTTGCTTGCGCTGGTGGGATGTTGAGGCATTATGCCAGTATTGGCCGACCGCTGAACATGTATTCTCTCACACCCAAGAAACAGTGGCAGATGGCATTTGTGCCTGCGGCTGATACACAACGCATGATGAGCAACAGAATCCATGTCACACATTTATAATAATCCACCAATTTTTAGTTCATCCTGGGTCGACATTGGTGAAAGCACCCCAGGGTTGACCCCGGCCCCTAGGGTTGTACCCCAGTGAATGGGAAGCCGCACATTGTTTGCTACCAACTACATAAGGCTAGGGCGCCTAGGCTATATGAGCAACGGGCGTGCTCCAGGGTGGTCCATTTCCTATCAGTATTTCAGGTCGGCGGTTTGGATGTCTTCTGGTAACAACATGTCAAATGTTCATGGGTGTCATGAACCCAAACACCCCTGTTGGTTCCAGTGCGTCCTCCCTTGCAATGGATTGTCTTCTGGGATCAGACCGTGGGCAAGGAAAGAAGGAAAAGAAAGTACCCTCCATCGTGAGGGGTTGGACGTGCCCTTGAAACAGAGAACTGGTCATTTGGAAGGCTTTCCATTAGTAGCACAAAAGTGGGCAATTCCCACAACGCCTACAACTCCCAGGGGTGAGTGGTATGGTCAGGTCAGACCTGTAAGTCACTTTAGTCACAAGCTAAAAAGTCACAGAGCATCCTCTAGTTTAGCAAAACCTGCATGAGTCACAATGAAAACACCCTGTTACCTGAGGCTTGTAGGGGCAGTCATGGACGCTTTGTACAGCAGGAGCTTTGGAACCCGTTGACCAATCTTTGCACGAATTTTTGAGACGTTCCTTTTCTTTCTTGTCCAAAAAAGCACTTCCCTGTTCCATTGGTTGTCAATTCCTCGCCCCAGCCAACAAAAAGAACATGTCTTCTTTCCCTTTGGTTGTATTCCTTCTGTCCATACAAGAACATGTGTTTTCCTTTGTGTCTTTGGCTCAGAGTGTCCTTTCCCCTTCCATGCCAACCAACAAATCACAGGGTGTCCTTTGGCAAATAAACAACATTGGCCCACTCAACAACTTGGTTGTGACTCCTTTGACGTGGGAAAACCCGCTGGTTGCAAGTTCGCTGTTGTCGGTGAGGCAGAGGTCGATCTCGCCGAGGCCGGCGGGCAAGCGTCAGTGTCTCCAAAGATCAAGCAGCCCTATATCAGCCTTTGCAGCCATCTTAAGGAGCCCCGCAAGGAGAAGTGAGCCCCGCAAGGAGAAGTGAGAGTGGGATTTCTTTACTTTCCTTTCAAAAGCCAAGCAAGAAAAGAGGGTCCAACCCACATTGAGACAGACCTACATGGCACGGGAAGTGCAGTATGAAGAGCCCTCTCACCGTGGAGTCGAGTCTGGTTTGTGTTGCTTGAATGACTAAATGATTCCCACTTTCTAGACTTTACAGGCATACGGTATACAGATTTGCCTTCAAACTATCGAAGATAAATTTTCTCCGTTGGTTCGAACACCATTTGGAAAAGCCACCTTCAAGCTGTCCTTTCGGTTTGGTAATGTATGGTGTTGAAGGCCAGACTCCCCTTTTGGCGTTCAAAAATCCGTTCCACCGTTCAACCCTTGATTCGAGAAAAGCACATGTTCACAACCGAATTGCTAAAAATCATTCAACCTTTTGTTGCGCCCCTGTGTCTTAGGAACCATGTGGTCCCTGAATGGGCGGAACCGGTTCGAGTCGGAGGCCACAGTGCTGTCCACCGCGCAGCGCCGCTTCGCGCTGAGCGCGGCGGGAAAGTGGGCAGTGCTCAGCGCCTGTGCTTGGAGCGAAAGCCACGGGGTTTTTGGTAAGGGTTAAACCCAGGGACACCCCCTATTAATACACAGAGGTTGTAATATGGGGTCAACATGATAATGATGCATCTTTGCAAAGAGGGTTCAGAAACCTGGAAAGAGCTTGGCTTCAATTTCCTCCAACGCCATTTTGAAGGTGGGGATCCTTCATTACTGACCCTTCATTGCTGACATCTGCGATTTGTTCTCAATTTCACGGCCTGAAATGAGAAATGATTCCACAAGCAAAGGACCCATGGTGAGCTCCCTGATATGATTTGTTGCCCTAACCCCCCAACATATTTTTGCAAATAGGTTGGCGTACACCGAATGAACAACCATTCCCATGTGTTGTTTGTTTGTGTGTGTGTGGTTGTGTGTGTGTGTGTTTGTTTGTGTGTTTGATTGTTTGATCGAATGATTGATTTGATTGATTGTTTGATTGATTGATTGATTTGATCTGATTCATTGATTGATTGATTGATTGATTGATTGACTGATTGACTGATTGACTGATTGACTGATTGACTGATTGACTGATTGACTGATTGACTGATTGATTGACTGATTGATTGCTTGATTGATTTGATTGATTGATTTGATTTGTTTTGCTTTGATTGGTTTCTTGCTTGCTTGCTTGCTTGATTGATTGTTTGTTTGTTTGTTTGTTTGTGTGTTTGTTTGTTTGTTTGTTGGTTCTTCTGTTTTTGTGTTTGCTTGTTTGTTTGTTTGTTTGTTTCTTTGTTTGTTTGTTTGTTTGTTTGTTTGGTTGGTTGGTTGGTTGGTTGGTCGGTTGTGTTGTTTGTGTGTGTGTGTGCGTGTTTGTTTGTTTGTTTGTTGTCTGTGTGTGTGTGTGTGGTTGTTTGTGTTTTGTTTGTGTTGTGCTTTTTTGGTTGGTTGTTTGTCTGTTTGTTTGCCTGTTTTTTGTTGGTATGTTTGTTTGTCTGCCTGCCTGCCTGCCTGCCTGCCTGTCTGTCTGTCTGGGAGTCTATCTGTCTGTCTATTGTGTGTTCGTTGTTTGTTTGTCTGCTTGTTTGTTTGCTTGTCTGTTAACGTTTGGCTGTTTGTTTGTATTTTTGTTCGTTTGTTGTTTGTTTGTCTGATTGTTTGTTTGTGTGTTTGCATGCGCGTGTGTGTGTGCTTGCGTGCGCTTCACCTTCTACAGGATACGGGCCTGTATGTGCCTGGTGCAAAGTATACAATGTAAACTCAGGATTATTCAACCCGGTGTGTCACTGCAGGGAGTGCTTCCCAAAAAAGGGCAGCATTCCCTGGACAACACAAGTTCGAACTATATAGTCAACTTCAGGTTATATCATTGTATGATAATATTATATGATGATATTACATCGGGATATAGTGAACCAGGGGTTTATCGGTCAACTGGGTTCCCGTTAGGCCTCGATCTCAGGTATGGTGCTGGCAGACGGGGAGATGGGCTCAACGCAAGAAGAGCTGCAGGATGGGCCGCTGTGGGAGGAGATGAAGGACAGACGCTGCAACCCATCCCCAAGAGTCGTAGCCCCATACCCCCGAGTATGTGTATATATATATAATATATATTTACAACTATTTTTATATATCTATACTGCCTACACGCCTATTATATATTATGTGTGTCTCTTTTTTCAGGGTGCTCACTCGCAAATTGAATGAGCGAAAGAACCCACAGATGATGTCCCCCAAAAGGAGAAATCCCCTAAGAAACCATGTGTTTTTGTTGGGTTTCATGTCAATCTGCAGGGGAGTCAGGAAAGTGCCCTTTTTGAGATGTCCGTTTCCAAAGGCACACCACCCGTTGTGGAGGTGAGCCCATTTGGAGCCAAGCTCAGATGCTAGTTCCGATGGGGCCGGCGGCCAGCATGTCCTAAGGTAGTCTTAATGTTCCATTTTTGCTTGACGGTTTCTCCACGAAGAATGGTCGACCGACAAACATAATCCAGTTTCTTTGTCTACGGTGGGAAGGATGGCTCATACGCACATGGGGGGGGGGGGGGGCAATCTTCTCTACTTTCCATAAAGGCAGAGGTGCCTACCTGATGGCCAAAGCCGGGTTCCAGCTTGCACCCGCTTGCACCAAGGGACAGTCATGTGTCTAGCATCCCAGAGCACATTTTGCTGGAACCGATGTAAATTCACCGAATTCATTCTGAACAGCCCAGCAATTGAAAAAGGTTCCATGATTGAAAGAGGCGGTTCGAACCGGTAGGAGGGTTTCCGCCTCTTCGGCCTCGACCCGGACACCCACGTCCATGACTGGGTGGAGCTGGAGCCGGACCTTGGGCGACGGCCTAGGCGTGCGCGGAAAGAAGCGTGGACGAGTCTGAAGAACGAGGGCCGTGTTGATGTTGAAGGAAAGCTGCAGGGAAACCATTAAACAAGTGAAATTCAAAGGAACACACATGCTGTTTTAGAAGGAAACCACAGGAATGTTGAAAGCAAATGAAACGGAACGTTTTGTTTTAACTGTAATCGAAACTTATGGTTTCCGTGCAAACAGCCAACTTGCCACAGCCTCTCTAAAAAAAGGGACGCCAAAAGGGAGCGTTTCCCAACAACAAGCTGCAATCGGAACCCAGGGTTGGGCGAGGGGAGCCACCTTTGGCATGAGATCTGGGTATACTTTGCTATATATAGTGAACCCATCAGCAAAACGTCCCTACTCCCAGTTGACGAATCCGGGGTCCGCATTAGCTGCACAGCTCAGCAAGTTGGAGGTACTTCGCGCAGCTGAAGTCCTTTCAGGCGCCCGAGGCCAGGTTTGCTCCGGGAAAAGTTGGCTTAAACCACCCATCCCTCAGGGAAGCCAAAAGGGGGTTGTTTAAAATGAGGTGTTGTTGACCTGCAGTTTACCCTTTGCATGGGCTGAATGCAAACAGGGTGTGGTTCGAAAAGAGCAGAATCCCCTTAAACATATCAAGGACATAGTTTCAAATCCAAGGGGTTTGGTCATCTGCCCTTCCTATGATTCACCAATCGGAATTCTGGAATCCATCAAGGACCATCAGAGAGCGTTCAAACCATTGAGTCGCCCAATCCCAGGCGCAGCGTGTCTGCCTGCCCCACCCCTGGGCCTTTCTGGTGGGTGAGGCTGCGCAGCTGACGAACCCCTGGCCCGGGCGAGCACCTCGACGAACATCCTTTTTTTTTCATTGTGTGTGTGATTTGTTTTTGTTTTTTTGTGTGTGTGTGTTTTGATTGTTTGTTTGTTCTGCCTGTGCGCCTGCCTGTCCTGTCCTCGCCTGCCTGCCTGCCTCGCCTGCCTCGCCTGCCTGATCCTGCCTGCCTGTCTGCCTGCCTGCCTGTCTGTCTGTTTGTTTGTCTTTGGTGACACAACCTTTGCTGGTGTTGCGGGTGTTTCCGAGAATCAAGTGTTAGATGATCACCTTGAAACCGAGGGCCTGGCTCTAGGAATCACAAATTCCCCAATCCATTGAAACTTATCAGCGGCCACGGCTTTGTTATGTTGTTTTGAGAACAACACCAGAGAAAACAATCCATCTTGAGTCGGCATCATGAATTACATCAGTGGCAAGCTCTAAACACCTTTTGGCTTACGTAGTACGTTGCTTTCTGAACGAGGAATCAACAAACCGAGACAATTGGTTCCTTCCCTTCTCGCTAAAAGTGTGCTTCGACCCTCCAATAACGGTTCCTTTGTCAAGTTGTCGTCGCTGGCTGCAACTAGGTGGCTTGAACGCATTTGGCAACTTACATTTGTCAATGTATCTTGCCCAGACTAGTTAGCCAGCATGGATAGTCACGCTGGCTATAACTCGTAACACACACCCTTTCTGTAGATTGTTAGATTGTGTGCCCAGGCGCATCAACCACTTATACGTTCAGACAACTGCCTCCTTTTTTCGCCCTCCCCTTCCCCCCCCCCCCCCCCGGTAGCACACTTTCTAGGGGCGGTGTTTTTTGAAAACAGGGTGCTGTATCTGTCGAAGGGCAATAACACCCCTAAATGGACCATACTGTTCACCTATGACGAATAACACCCCTTCCAGGCGTAACAACCCCTTTCCGAAGTATCCAAGGGTCTCAAGCGGTCTCCTTTCTCTTCCTTTCAGGTCTTCGGTCTTCGGTCTTCGCTGTGGGTCCTTCCCTTCGTGGATCTTCGAAGGCGCTGAACGCGTGCGTGAAGAGCGCGCAGCTCTTGTCGCAGCACTTGAAGGCGGTAGCGCAGGCCATCCGCGCGGGGTACCCCATCGACGAGAGCTGCTCGAACGCGACGGCGATCGGGAGATACCCCAATTCTGTATGTATATATATATATACATATTATAGACATGTGTGGCTGTGTTTTGTCTGTGTTGTATGGATCCAATATGGCAAGAACGGGGAATGTAGATGCAGAGAACATGAACTATGTTGTAGCAAAATAGGCTGGTTAGCCTGCGAACAGGTGGAGCAGGAAACAACACTACGTAGGAGGTCCCAGTAAGCGATCTCAGGCTCCAACTGGAAGAAATCTAGCCCTACTCTGGTCCTAATGGTTCGGCGGTTTTGAGTCAGGGGAGAAAAGTTGAAACACGCGATGGAATTTATGCTTTACAGAGCCTAGCCCCGATTCGAAGTGGGCCCTGGTAAACGTGGGGGCGCTGGTAGATCGTCATCACAGGCTTCCTTTTGGTTGCCATCCAAAGAAAGTTTTCTTTTGGTGGGGTGGTGCTAGGAAAAATCACTGGAAACCCCATATCATGTGTTCGTGATTTTGGAATTGGCCCCTAAGCTGATCCAACTAGTCTTGACACAATCTAGACGGTCGAAACTTCTGTTGTTCTGTTAGCTTTGGGTTGAATCAGTCCTGCACGATTTGTGTGGCGTCCCCGTGTGGTCAACAGTAAACCAGTCTTCTTTTCATTTTGGATTGAGTTTGGAAGCGGGGCCAAAAGGAATCCGCCTTCTGTTGGAACCATTGATTTAGCAGAAGCAAAGGCTGCTGCTGGTTGTCGCAGATTGATTCCTGGGATGATTGGTTGGCGTCTCACCCTTTCAAACTTGAAGGAACGCAAAGAGGTGCTGGGGAAGGGAAGGAAAGGTTTTGGGAGCAGCTGGCAGAACTTGTAGATCACTTGGCTCCACAACAAGTATTTCCCCTGCTCCCCGCCCCCCCCCCCACGGCACCCGTTACGGCTCAAATGCTCAGTCCCCTCTTCTTTGCTTTGTTTGCTCAAAGCGGCTCTTTCTGAGATTTCGAGCTTTTGTTGTCACTACCGACACCTTTATTTCTTGTGCAGATTGATCCAGGCTGACCAGAGTAATTACCCTTCTTGGGACACTGGATCATGGTCTGTCTCATTTGTTGGATGATGTTTCAAGGGAAACCTGAAGGCAGCCGCTCCCTTTGAGGAGGCAGGGTGGTTTCACATACGTTGCAGGCAATGCCCACCCCTCATGTGCAAGCAAAGCGGTTTTGGTTGTTTGAAGACACTTTGGTGTTGGGGGTCTTTCCTGAAAGCACATCGATGGACAAGCTTGGCCAAGGCTTTAGCCGCGACTACGGGGAAACGAGCCCTGGCATGCAGGGGAAAGAACATCATGAGCAATCTCCTTTGGGTGTGTTGTGGGATCTTGGTCATCTTGAGTGAACAGAGGGAGTGCGATCTGCCACAGATGCCGAACAAGTCATGTTTGGCCTCGTTGCTTAAAAGTAGTCTTTATTTTATCCTTATGCAACATGGTAGTGCTTTCCGTTGTTGTATTGGTGCTCGGTTGTGGATTGCAGATGAAAGTGAGGGATTTGAAAGACCCAGCCTGGACCTTTGCAAATGAATGGTCACAATCATTGCTGTTGCTTCACAGCTCGAACTGGGAACATTTTTTGGGGATTTGAGTCACTTACAGCTTGGTGTCACAATGACTCTTTGGCCACTAAATTGTTTGTACAATAGGATTGGCAATTTAGGAAGGATATGCGGGCTCACCAATGTGCCCACCAATGCTTGCTGGGTTCTTCAGGAGAACATCACATAGTGTCCGGTCTTAGTTTTCTTGGCGGCGGAAGTTGAGCTTGATGTTCCTTTGTGGAGCAGATCAACATAGTTCCCTTGGATGCTTGCAAGTGCTGTCCCGGGCAAGTCACAAAACCCTTGCCAAAACAGATGTACTACCTCCAAGACGGTGGCGCAACAAAACAGGTTCTCAACTTGTTGAGTGGGATGGGCAAATTGCGATGGTCGGCTTACAACCATGATCGTTTCTTGTAACCTATGCCAAGTGGGGCGGACGACCAGCCTTCCTTGCAACAAATTCAAAGCTTGAATGGCATAGAGCCCTGCAACGCATGAGAAAAGTCAGAACTCCCCCCACACCCGCTGAAGGATTCTCACCCCCCTTCCAAGCACCCCCCCTTTGGTTTGCGAACTAGAGTGGACATCCAGCTGGAATGGGATCAACTGCTGTTTTGGCCATGAAGGGGCAGGCCGCGGTGTGGTTTGTTTGTTGCGAAGAATTTGCCATTCACAGTGTTAAACGTAGCTTATCTTTTCAAGTGTTTGCCGTTGGGTCCTTAGTTGCCAAACTCACCGGACATGTTTACCCTTGTAGGCGGGCTTCATTTAGTTGAATCAGCTCACTTTTTGCGGGGAGTGGGGGTCGTTTCCGTCTGGCAAAGTTCATGGAGACACAATCAGTCCAGGTTGACGAGGATTCAGGGCCAGGAGGAGAGCGTGCATCGCAGGCTGGGGATTTGTGATGCTCACCATTGACAGAGCACAGCATGAAACAGTCAGGGGAATTGAAATTCAACTGACCCCGGACAAGTCCCTGCATGTTTGACGAACCCAATTTTGATTTCATGCCTAACACATGTCGAGCTCACGAGGTGCGGAACAGGGGGTGATTCCCCAGACTCAACCATTCTTCACACGCACAAGGGTGGTTTTCTGGCAAGAGGGATCCCTCGGTTCACAATGGGTGCCAGATATCCATAGAGCACTCATGCGAGCTTGTCTTTTTGTTCAGGTGGCGTGACCTCCTTCTTGGCCTCAGCTTGAAGGGAAACCAAGGATCAACTACCCGGTTTGTCGCTCGTCTCCGCATTTTGAGACACGCCGACGCTTCTTTGACGAGCAATTGTCACCAGGCAGTGCCAGGCGGAGCAGAAGTCAGGATGGAGCCTGAGCACGTGCTTCTCAGCTATATTTCATGCCATTTGTCCTATTGGTTTGTGGAGGCTGGCAGGTGGGGGAGAGGTTATAGTTGGTTTCCTTGTAGCTTTCTTTACAGCACCCAACTTGTGTTGCCTACTTCCCATTGAAGTTTGATGAAGTATCCCATTTGCCGGTGTGTTCTGAGCAAACCCGGGCGATTTCCGAAGTGCGGCTTTCCCCTTGGATTGTTTCTTTTGTTTGAGCTTTTTCTGTTTGAGGTGGCTTCAAAGATGCAGGTCCCCTCCATGGGTGCCCTTCTTTGCCGTGATTGTTGTAGGAACCAAAGGGAACCGCTGAGACCGCCGCCCCCTTTTTGGAGACGAACCCATGTAAATTCACAGAACTGAAACAAGGAATCCTCAGCTCAGCTAAGAAACCTGCATGGGTGAGCTGGTTTCACCCCCAAACCGTTTGCCCAGATGTGGGTGCATATCTTTTGAGGGTACCCTTTCCGGTTCGGAAAACCACAATTTTGTTGGTTGTCCCCCTGTATGGTTTGGCCTTCGGATCGAGGCTTGCAGAATGCCATGGACGCGAGCGAGCCCGGGGACAAGGCGGCCTTCCGCCGTGCTCTGAAGAAGAGTCACCAGCGCCTACGGGAGAGCGGACATCCGGAGGCCGGGGAACATGGGTTTACTTTTTGTGGGGCAAGTTAAACTATATTTGGAGATGGCTCCTTTTTGGCGGTGTTTTGGAGGGAAGGCTAAAGGTAACCCAAAGGCCTAAGGGATACCAGGCCCCTTGGCCAGGTCGCCATGAATTTGGTCTGGAAACGCCCACCTCGGAAAGGCTCACGAAGGGGGGTTTGGTTTGCGACCCTGGCCCCGATCCAAGCCCTGAAGACAGCCATGTGGATGTGTCTCAAAGTTGGCTGGCTGTCCTTCATGAGCAAATCAGGCGGAAATGGATTGCCATTTTAGTACAACCATGCTGGGCCCCTTTTTTAGCAGTTCTTCTCCTGCCGACTTCAAGGGAGTCCCTTCCTCAGAAAGAGAGAGCAAGAGAGAGAGAGAGAGAGAGAGAGAAGGCAGGGCATGGGGAAGGTTATGGGTCCTGTTACAGGGCCAAGATGTCCCAACTTGAAGACCATCACGCGCATCGATGAAGGTCGCTTTTGGCGATTGTCCCCCGTACGCCACCAGCCACACACAAATGCCTGAAAACCCGGATCCGCTTGGTGACAAAGACGAAGGCGGGGTTGTTCGAGAAACCAGGGAATGACGAGAGAAGGCAAGTAGGTTAATCGCCACCCTTGCAGCCATTTCGTTCATTGGCTCATTAAAACAAGTGGTAAAAAAGAATTGGCACAGTAATTGGCACACTTTCTTTGGCTGGTTTCAAAGGGACACCCCTCAAACATTTGGGAGAAAGGGCGCCGAAGGTCAATGACATTGAAGCACAAGGGGATGGTGAAGGATGCCCCTTGTTCTAGCAGTTTGGGGCCGGGACCATCCAACACATCTGCGCGGAAGGGGGGGGGTTGCTGACATGACCCTGACACGTTTATATCATTTAAATCGCCCTTCAATTTTGATACCGACCCTTGAAACACCCAGTGTCTCCATTTTCGGGGCAGGTGGACCTGGCGCAGACCTGGAAGCGCCTGGAGGGCCAGCTGAGCGCCAGGAACGTCTCCTCTTTCGATGGGCCGGGCAATTCGCTGGGTTTGGTTCTTTCCCCAGCGTTGTGGGCTGCCCCAAAGCGCTTAGACAAGGCTTACTTGACTTCTGAAAGGCGTCTCAGGAAAATGTGCAAGCTGGCCAGACAACTCAGGCAACCACAAGAAGCGAAACAATCCTGAAGATGTTCCTGGAGCGCTTTGCTGAGACGCAATTTGGAACCCGGTTTGACTTCCTCCCAAAACAACACAAAAAAGACGAGAGCACACTTACATGGGAACCTTTTCCCTAATTTCGACCCTATCTAAGGCCGAAATCCTCATCTTTCTCTCCAAATGTTACCTGAATTGTCTAAGTGACCAAAGGCAGGTGTCCCGCACCAAGGACCCCGCAAGAATCAACCTGGGTAAATAGTAAGCTATTTGCCCCAAAAATGAAGGACTTCCTCTTCAACGCGACACCCCTAATCAAACAGGGGCTATTGTTAGGGTCCCATGATTGGCCAGTTACTTGTGGGAGGTCGTTCTGCCTGACTTCATGAAGGTTCTCACTTCCTGAGTTTCTGGACTTGTTTCTTCTTGGAAAGGCTGTTTCAGTGGCAAGCACAAGCTTGGACTTTCAACAGGTGGTCTGCCCAAGCAACAAATCGCACACCTTGTGCAGAGACCTGGGGTAGATGGAAACTCTCACCTAGGTGCACGCACATGTAGTATATATTCTTTATAGAGATCGAGAGAGAGGGAGAGACATGTGTGGAGTATCAATGAGTATTTCAAAATAAGGAAGGTCAAACAGCAAGTCAACGATTAGTGGGTGCTCCTACTACCTGGCTCCTGGGCTTAATGAAGGATTGACATCCAGGGTAGTTGTGAGCCTTTGGAATGGCTTGAAAACCCTTTGATTTCCAGGGAGTGTTTGGGGTTGGTTGCTTGTTGATTTGAGTTGTGCAAGCCCTCGCCTCTCGCTAGGACCTTGGCCCTCTTCCGGGCCTCCGGTAGCTGGCTCTTCGACCCGCCCCCGCGGGAAGAGCAGACAGAGACGGAGACGGCCAAAGAGGAGCGAGAGCCAAGTGGCTTGACCCCGCTGTCCGCGTTGCTCAGAGGACCATTAAGGGCCCCAAGTAAGGTGGATAGCCGGGATAGTCCCAGCCCAAACTTCATGCGGGGCCTGTCTCAACCATCCTTTGCGTGTTCTGGGTATATTCCCTGTTGGGGGGGGGGGGGGGCGGGGGTTGAATGGATCTCAAATGTGCTCAAATTGTTTTTGCCCTCCCTTGAAATCTCACAAGTACCTTCAATCAGAAGAACCCCACATGAAGCACCAAGAACCCCAAGTGCGCTGATGGGCAACTAAGAATGGAATCAATCAATCCCGAGAAATGGTGGTTCCCGTTTTTAACCAGGGTCACTGGTTGCAGCTAAGCTTCCCTTTGCTCTTTGTTGCTGGGTGGCTCAAAGTGACCCCTTAAGATCCCTTAAGCCATTTGCCAGATGGTCGGTAGTTGTTTCCCTGGTTGTAGACTGACAAAATGACTAGTAGTCTACTGCTTGTTTGGGGTAGACATGGGGGACAGTCCAAAATCACAACACAGGGGCACGCCACCCCATGTTCTCAACAAGTTTAGTCCAACCCTGGTCGAGTCCACTCAAATCTTCTTCAGTTGCTTTTTCTGACTTGCCAAGACGAATCGAGCAGGTCTGACCTTTGTTTTCCAGTTTGTTTGGTTACTGGTCTGTTGTTTGGTCAGGGTTCCAAAGAGTCCTTCCATTTCCAGGTCCTGTGGTAAGGGAACCTGCCTTACTTGTCCGCCGAACTAAGAAACTGTTCCCTGGTCTATTCGGCAGGAAAATGTCAATGGCCTTTTTTTCCAACTCTGTCAGATCCACTCTGGTTTGTTGAATTGATGTGGCTTGGCGGTGCCTTTTCAAATGTTGCCTACGAAGAAGCGGCGGCGCGTCCTCTTGTTTTCATGGCAAGCCACTGAGCAAGGAGCCGGAGATGGATGAGGAGAAGTGGAAGGAGATGCAGGACTCGAATCGAGTATCGGTCGAAATTCGAAGTATGTGCGGTCCATTCAATTCACAACCTCAGAAATATCAGGGTTTTATCGGGGCCCCGGTCCCAACATCACGGGGTGTTCCACCCCTTTCCATAGCATTGTCGCCAGTAGGTCGGGGTGGGTAAATGGATCTCATGTGGCTGGATTTGCATGGTGTTGCTGGGCGTTACGGCGTGTTGCGTCGCGTCGCCGTCGCTTTGTCACTTTCCTTTGGCCGAAGGCGTCGGAGTTTGCTTGTTCAAAGGTAAACTGAAATCAGTTCCTTTTTGTATATTTTTGTCATGTATTGTGAGTTCGGTTGGTTCTGTCCAACCGACCCCCCGCCCCTCTCCATGGATCCTAGTTACCACCGTGATATGTAACCTGCCATTTTCCGTGTAGCATATAAAGGGTACTTCGGTTCGCTTGGTTATTTGCCACACAAGTAGATGGAATCACTGGGTGTCCCTTTCCCCTTTGTCCTCTTGCGGCTTTCGCAAACGTGGCTTTGACTCGTTCGAAGGTTTTGTGCTGTTTCGATCGAGGCGGCGGCCCGCGGCGCCTACAACCGTGGGGTAAGGCACCTGAAGAGCAAAGACCCAATCCCTGCGGCGCGGTCCTTCCGCAGCGCCGCGGAAACTTGGCCAAAGCAGACTGAGGGCCCACCCAGAAAGCTTCGAGAAGAACCTCCTTTGATCAGAAGCCCTTCTAGGCAGGTTCTAAAAGCCTTTCTTGCCTTGGGGGTGGGGGGCCTTGGTGTTCTTCCTACTATCAGCAACAAGTTTGACCTGTTTGGAGGACGCCAAAAGGGATTGATGATTTTCCTTGTTCAGAAGCCCCAGAAAGGCGGGTTTATTGGGCCCTCAGTCCCAACTCAAACCGACGCGTTTTTGGTGGCACCTTCAAACGACGTCCTCTACCATCCCTAAGGTGGGTTTCCCAGTTGGTTGGTGGCGCTTTCCTTTTTGTTTTTTACTGGTTGCCCAGTGAAAATGGTCGAACGAAAATTGGTGCGCTTCCTGTACCAGCGTCATTGGTTGCCATTGGCAATGCCCTCTGCCGTCGTGCCACCTGCAAAAGGCAATGTCAACTTCGGATCAAAAAGGACCACTAGCGCCCAACGGAGTTCCTTCTAGCCGTGGCAAAGGTGCACATCGGAACAAACGAAACAACAAAATACCTTTGAAGGGACAAATAGCCTTTGAACTCGAAAGTGGCAACTTTTGCAGGGGCATAGCCCACGTGGGCTTCACGGCTGTTGAGCCACGGGTTCGCGTTGAAACCTTAGAATAAGCCTTGAAGCTTTTGAAAGGGCCATGCCACCAACAAGCAGCCAGTGCGTCACGGTCAAACCACTCAGCTGCAAAAGGGTGACGGGATGTTCATGGATCTAGTGCGGAAGCATGCGGAAGCCGGTACTCACTATTTTAAGGTGCACCAGATGGCCCAGAGATGTGGAGTTTTGACCAAGACATAGTATCCGAGAGCCTGTTCGTTTGTGGGTGTCACGATGCGGAAGGAATCTGGCCTCAAAATGGCGACATCGGTTGCCACTTTCTCTGAGTGGCCATGCTGAAGGAGGCATTGGCTGCTTGCAAGTGGTCAGTAACCTTTGGTTGCATGGGGGTTAGATACTTCCCTCATTCCCGAGTATAGTTAAGTGGTATACAACAAACCCACCTGAAAAGGCGTTTAATTTGAGGGCCAGGTTTGTTGCATGTACGAGGGAGTTCCTGTTGCAGTGACAATTACACCCCTGAGCGATGACCCAGAGTGAGATAGCTTTGATGTGGGTCCAAGGTTTTATCGGAAATGACAACATGTCCCTTGTTTGTATGATCCATGTAGTCATCGTTGGATTGGGGAAAACAATCACTAAGCTTTCTCCACCAGCATAGTTTTGGAAGTTGCAAGGAAGGGGCAGCCAGTTTGCATTGCCCACTGTGGACCAAGGAAAAGGGCCATTCAAAGGCGGCCTACGCGCTGGGCGTGATGTTGCTCAATGGCCTGGGCCTTGCGGACATGGGCCAATGGTCCCGCTCAAAGCGAAGCCAATGGACCGCGGTTTGGGTCTTGGGGTGTCCTTGAGGAGTCCTTTTCGAGTCCTCAGCCAGGTTCCATGATGCGAGGCTAGATTGTGGTTGGATTGCTTACAATATGTGTGTTTCTGTGGTGATGGTACACGTCTGATTAACATGGGTCCCACAAGCCCTTCGGCGTTGGATACCCTTTTAAAGAACCCTTTGTTGGATTCCAGGGAAGTACGTGTTTTTTTCTTCAGGCTGAAAGGTGCAACCCAAAACCCTTCAGAAGGGTACCTAATATATTGCTTCTCTTGTTGTGTGCTGTGGTTGTTTGATTTTATTGGTTTTGCTCAATGTCGCGTTGGGTAATTTTCGTAGGTGTGCGTTGTGGGTGCATGTTATTTCAATATGAGTGGCCTTGTGGGGTGATGTCTAAAGTCTAAAGGGGACGTATGTCTTACAGTTTATATCAATGTTCAAAAAGACGTGACTTTTGACAAGGCCTTTGGGCCGTCATTGGCGAATGTTTGAGGAACCCTGAAGGCCTGCGGGCTGACCCATGGCCTGAGCGTAGAACCCAAACAAGTGTTTTGTGCCAAGATTGCGCATGACGGTTCTTAGGGCTCCCTTCTTCAAGGTTGGTGAATTCGAATTCTCACGACACACCTAGACAGCATGCACATGTTGCTGTTTGAAAGTGAGAGTTTCCTGCAACTCAGCATTTGATTGCGCTGTTCCTCCAAGTTGTCCTATGAGGTCTGGGCTTTGCTTTCATGTGCTGTTCTTGTTTGTTTGATTGATTGAATGTGTGTTACAGGTGCCAGAGTCATGCTCTTCGTGGGCTCTGTCCAGAGAGGCCCACAACTGGTGGAGTTTGATTAGACACGTGCAACAATTCACCCACACAATTGATTGTTGCTTATTCAAGTGGCTTACTTGCACTCTTTGGCGGCATTTTGAGGATTATCGGGGGAGGCTGCGCTTGAGAGCCAACCAGAATTTGCCCGGACAATATATGTCACGCCTTTGCAACAACCAGGGGACGGAACGCGAATTTGCTCGCGTCTAATTCGGCTGGATTTCCAACCAGACCTCTAGTAGGTTGCTCTCTTTTTCAGTCCCTTTAAAATCAGTGAATTACCAAACAACAAATGAAGCTTTCCACATAGAAATCCAGTGGAGGTCGCGGTGAAACCGGTTTCGCGTGCTTCGGGCGTCCTTTTTTCCTGAGGTCAGGGCGTCAAGAAAGACGAGCGTGCCGCAGCGCAGTTCATGAACCAAGCGGCCCAGAGCGGACACGTGAAGGCCATGTACAACCTAGGCCCGGGCCCTGGCATACGCGAGACGGGATTCACCGGAAGGGTCAAACCTAAAGCGCTTGCAGTTTGGGGGGTTCTCAAAGTGAATTGCTGGATTCACCTGGGACCCAAAACAAGCAGGTTCTCAAAAAAGAACTGCCTTGACTGTGGTTTCCCATGGATCTACCTTGTAGCGGGTCAAAGTGTGAGGATTTCACAATGGGCCCAGTGTCAGCGAGCAACTTCAGCTCAGCCCAATCATATGTTAACGGTCAACATCACTATCGCCAGCCGTGGTAAAAGGGAACGATATGTGACAAGCTTCACGAGCTTCTGTGAAAAATGCGAGTACTTACCAAGTACATAACCCAAGGGGCATTTTGTTTGCAAGCATCACATGTATGCGACCAAGCCAAGAGCTAGGCATCTAGGCGCGCAATCTGTGGGTTCTCAAACAGCCACGTTCCGCAATGAACATATTTGAGTGGAGACAACCGGCTCGTTCCGACAGTACGCGATTTGTTTAGAAAGTTGGCACACCATTTTGGGGGATTCAGCCCGCAGCATCCCAAAGGCCGCTCTGCAAAAAGAAGAATCTGCAGGAAGGTAGGATTTTCCCGGAAAATAAAATCCTGCATTTTGGCGGTGGCCACTTGGGTGTTCTTTGAGACGCAACGGATATTAAAGCATACCACTTGGACTTGGTTAGTTGCAAAAGCTTCCAAGACCTCCTCCAAGCGGTGCTTTGTTTCTTTCGGTTTTGGGGATATTGCCCTTGTAGAGCACCTATAAACAAAAAGGGTGCCCTTTCTTTCCCACAGAAATGGGTCACATGAGAACTCGCGACTTCCAAGCCAAGGCTTGATGCTGCAGCACGGCATAGGCCGGACTGCGTGAATTTCGGAATTCGAGTGAAGCGTCCTGGTGAAAGCTACACTCGCCAAAACCAATCGTGGAAGCTGGAAGACCAACACCTCTATCAGGTTCCACTTTTGTTTGCGTTCGAGTAACATGTGGCACGGACTTCACATCTTACAAGGCACTACAGAAGAAACAAGCGAAACAATATGGCCTTATATACTATATAACACATCATATGTACCAGGTATGCTCCAGCAAAGCGGGACGACGGAAATTTCTACCCAATAATGTGCCTATACTATACCTAAAGGAGATGAACTGTTTTCGTGCAGCATCTCTTCTCTGCTTTGCTCTCTGAGCATCTCGTGTATGTTCTTCTCTTTCTCTGTATCTTCCGCTTTGTCTTCCTCTTGTTCTGTCTTTTTCTCTTCTCTGTTATTTCTTGTTATTTTCTTATCTTCCTCAACCCCTTCTTTCTTTATTCCCTTCGTTTTGCCTTCCTTTATTTTGTTTTTTCTGTCTGTCTTTGTTTCTGTCTGTCTTTCTTTGTTATTCATTTCTGTCTTTCTTTATGGTGTTCCCTTTTTTTTGTTCTTTCTTTGTGTTCCTTCCTTCCTTCCTTCCTTCCTTCCTTCCTTCCTTCCTTCCTTCCTTCCTTCCTTCTTTCTTGCTTTCTTGTTTTATTTATTTCTATCTTTGTTTCTTCTCTTTGTTTCTTTTCTTTCCTTCCTTTCTTTCCTTCCTTTCTTTCTTTCTTTCTTTCTTTCTTTCTTTCTTTCTTTCCATCCGATCTATCTATCTATGTATCTATTTGTCTGCACCTGACGTTGCGAAAGTGCTGCGCCTGCCACGCAATTCAACCCTCGCGAGAGGCCGCGCCATTGGGCAACTTTCCAGACCGCCGCGGCCAGACTGCGGCGAACCCGTGCGCTGAGCGGAGGTAGCCTTCGCGATCTCGCCAAACGCAGTATGCTGCGCCTGCCACACAATTCCTTCCGTCTCTACCTTCTTCTTTGTATTAATTCTTTGTATTTCTTGCTTACTTTCTCTCTCTTTCATTGCGCGACCCTGCTATTTCGTTTGTGTGTTACATAAGTTTTCTATCTAGACTTCCTTTGATACTGGGTAGGCCTCCTACCATGATTTACCTGCTAAATGAATGTGCGTTGTTTGCACATGCATTATATATATATATATATATCTATCTAATCTATCTATCTATCTATCTATCTGTCTATCTATCTATCTATCTATCTATCTATCTATCTATCTATCTATCTATCTATCTATCTATCTATCTATCTATCTATCTATCTATCTATCTATCTATCTATATTAGAACATGTCAATGTACATGTGTTGGTTGAGGAACACCTGGACATGAGTTGGGAATCCAAAGGTCAGAAGACGCATTATTTGTGTGAGGAAACTATGTAGGGTGGGGGAACTGCGCGGATCATAACATAAGATATGGTTTTGCAAGAACACATGTCATTGGGTTGGGGAAATGCAACGATCATGTGTATATATATATATATAGAGATTGTTCTTCTGAGGAAGCGTACGGCAATGGAGCTGGGGAAACTCAAAGATCACAGCAAGATGAAACGTTTTCCAACACACTCTTGCGGATGGGAGGCATAAGAGGACAGAGCAGAGAACTAATTAAGTGACCGCAAAATTATCTCCTTCATTAATTAATACGAACCCCCTCATTGATTAGCGGAAGGGGTTCTTCGTCCGGATCCAAAGGGCCGCGCCACCAGGCCTGGCGCGAGATGTGGAGAAGGCCTCCCAGTGGACCCTGCGAGCGGCGGAGGGCGGCCACCGGAAGGCGCAAATTTGGGCGGAACGGCTGGCTCAGTGCCTTCGGGCTCAAGCCCGGCGGAAGGGGTTGTTCCCCTCCCGGAAAGCTTCCTATCAGCCCAGGGGTTTGTGAATCGGATTCAGTTAAGGGAGGGGTAGTCGATATGGGACCAAGTGTTATTATCCACATTGCCGAGACTGAAACGCATGATACGGATGCTTGTTTGTGGAGTTGGTACTCTTTGTTGTTTTTGTCGCGGCAGCTAAATGGGGTGCCAACCGTGTTACGGGTGCCCCAAGATTCCAACCGTCTTGGCAGTTTCCCTAATGCTGAGACAAACCCAAATGACTCCTGCGCGAATTCTAGCAGCCTCACAAGGGAAGCCTGCAACCTCACAAATGGTGACAGTATTTTGCAAAGAGGTTCTGGATCTCGCCTGGGAAAGACATTTCCAGCATGTCCAATTATCAAAGGGAGCCATTCATTCCAAACAACATCTCACCATCTGGGTAGTTTTCACAAATCGGCAATGGTGGCTTTCGGTCAGTCAATTCTTCCAATGTACCGAGACGAGTTGCCTGCTTCAGTGGTTGAATGACACGGGATTCCCTATAACTCCTCTCTAACTTTCTTTTTGGTGGGGTGATGTTTAAAGGGGAAATAGCAAAGATTCATGATCCAATATTGAAACCTGTGGCTAGGTCATCATTAGATTTGCCTTGCTGAGCAATGAATCACATCACGAGTTTGAAAGGCCAGTTTTGTTTGAGGTTCCCTTTGCGGTGTCGGTTTTAAAGGACAAATGCCATGCATTCCTGTCTTCTACAGGAAACCCACACGACGAATACCTAAGAAGTATGTGTGAGATTGAAATTACACACCCCAAATCACACTCAAGGGAAGAAGACAGGTATGGCCACGTTTCGGGCCGCATTCGAATCCGTAGATGTGGGGTCAATTCGCTCCGTTTGGCAATAGGCTCTCCGCAGCGGCAACGTGAAGATCTTCGGCGCTGGGCCCTGGCTGGACCCGAAATTGGTGACGAGAAGACCCAAAACGTAGGAGACATTTCGACTGCGGATGCTAAGATTAATTTTAAGAGATTATTGCTGCAACAATGGACATGGGCAAGGGGGGTCCTCAAAAAGGAAAGTACCCCTCTAACACCCTCCTGCTAGTTTTTAACAAATGTCGAACACTGCTATCTGGCTCAATGGGGATGGAGTATGACCTGTCTCAATCACAGCATCAAGAAGCCATCCATTTGTTGGAACCATGCGTCCATTTGGGGAAAGGTCTGTCTTTGCCTGCATTGATTGCGTTGTCTTGTTTTGCGCGTTTTCCATTGTAGATCATTATGCTATCTACAGACTGGACTTTGGCCAGTGTACGGACGGTTTCCACTAGCTGTCTCAATGGGCATGGACTGTAAGGCGTCCATGAGCATTTGTTCCCCAGAATTAGCTTCCCTATTTGAATGTTGGGCGCCCAACTGACAAACTGGACGGACTTGGATCGGGGGTTGAACAGCCGTACAAGGAACACTTGCTGATCGTTCAATCACTGATTCACCAGGCAACTGACCATACTTCATGATTGTCATTTCAACCAAAGAGGAAAGAACAGTTGAGGTTCACTTTGTTTGGCACGTTGTTTGGGTCTGCTCTAGACAACGATGGAAAATAAAAGAACTAGCCAGGTCCACTTTGCTTTATAATATATTCATCTCGCACCCCTACACCCCGTCTAATGAATGGGCAGCCGACCACACATATGTTCAGCCATTCCTGGTGTCACGGTTTTTGGGTAGGATGTGACGAGAAGCCAATCCGAGAGTCGGGCTCAGCGACTTGAATTGCACACAAATGATCATTTTCTTACAGTAAACGAGCTCATGATGAGGGATCCCTCACATTAGGATTGCTTATTCCCGGTTTAGGAATTACGGTATCTTGCCCAGATGACACCGTTTTACATTGCAAGGTCCGAACGCAAGGTTCGGAGGCTCTTTGACGCATAGTTGGAGTATCTCAGATCACCAGAGGTGAAATGGGAAGAGGCTCAGGGCTTATCTGTGCAGGGCACGAGTTCGCGGGTTACAGCCCAAGTAGAGGATTTCAGGGGACCCGAGCTCGAATGAGTTGCCTGTAGTGCTTGCAATTGCGAGGACTACGACCCCAAAGAAATGGGCGTGGAGAGGATCGTCAAGGAGGCCAGCCCGAGCTTCGGATTCGTGTCTTCGCGAGTGATTGCTGCAGGGTTCCCGAGAAAAGCTCGTCACCCATGTCACCCTTCCGCACAAATTTCCCTTTTAGATGAAGTTGATCTTCCAGGTCCAAGCGCGAAGGGTACTCTCATTGCCGAGTGCAGACGAAAACTGTGGAGGCGCTTCCAGTGGATTTGGGCTCGGCTAGACATGGCAAGCAACGCCCCAGAAATCGGACCCCAAGTGAGTGGCTTCCTCTTCATGTTCCTTCGGTTCCCCTTCTGGCGCCCTTTGTAGTCTACCATTCTTGAGAGGTACCTGTTAAGTGTGGTCATTTTTTACACCAATGAATAGCATCCTTTCAAACACCGACACAGATTGGTTTTGGTCTCCCGTTTGAGCACCAACAACATAGCTTCAGAAACGATACTTGAAATCCATAAGAAACAAGAACCATCAAACCCCTTTGAGAAATAGTCTTGAGTTGTTGGAACGAGGAAAAGCGATCGCCATGCGCCTCACGCGAGTTTGATATCTGTTTGTTTGTTTATCCCTTATAAAAAGAACTTATCAAATTCCATAGAAGCACCAACCAAAATAAGAGGCGCTCGCTACCACCGGCTTGCCATTCTGCTCGAGGCATGGCTCGAGCCTCTTGCCTCAAAGAGCCATGGCGCAGCTAATTCCGGGCTACTGCGTCTTAGCTTTCCCAGTTGGATTCCAGGCGAATCGCCATAGTTTGTAATTCTGGGAACCCCGACCTACTGCACAGGGCAATAGAACCACTGAGTACAGTTGCCTGCAGTGTCCCGCTACTCGTTCGAGGGGGAAGGGGGGGGAACATGACCTTTTGGTTTCCAATTTCCTGGTTCCGATCCCGAAGGAGGTTTTTTCCCAAAGGAAGATGCCTCTTGCAGCAGGGTTGCTCCAAAGACCATGGCACAAAACTGGACTTATGGCAACCCTGGTGACGGGAAACCACAGGAACTGTAGCAAGCGGATGGACCGCAAATCCGTACGTGTTGCAGAGGTCCTTGGGTGTGTCCCAAGCCTGGAGTTTTTGTGGTTGCCGCTTCGTTGTTCAGTGGAGTACACCTTCTAAATCCCTTTCGCTTGGTTTGTGCCCACTACAAACTGGAATCAACACCAAAAAGGATTTCATGTTCAACTTTCAGGGTCACTCGGCAGCTGGGACACTGGACACCGCCCGCAACGGGGTTCCCAATTTGGAGACAAAACCATGGTTTCCCTTTTCTGTGTTGGTTGATGAGCCTTCTTATTAAAGCCAAGAACGCCTAGCTGAGCCCTTCACGGTTGGGACCTCAATGTGTCTTCTTTTTGAGGCGGTTTTGGCACCGCCTTATGCAAATGCCAAGTCTGCCTGATGCCATTTTTGGCGGGGTGATGTTTGCAAGGGACTCATAAGGAGCCCTGTTTTGGCTTCCGAGTGTGGCTTCACATGTATATATTATTCATTCATATTATTATTATTATTATTATTATTATTATTATTATTATTATGATTATTATTATTATTATTATTATGTATTATGTATTATTATTATTACTATTATTATTATTATTATTATTATTATTTATTATTATTATTATTTATTATTATTATTATTATTATTATTATTATTATTATTATTATTATTATTATTATTATTATTATTATTATTATTATTATTATTATTATTATTATTATTATTATCATTATTATTTATTATTATTATTACTGTTATTTATTATTATTATTATTGTTATTTATTATTATTATTATTAGTACTATTATTATTATTATTATTATTATTATTATTATTATTATTATTATTATTATTATTATTATTATTATTATTATTATTATTATTATTATTATTATTATTATTATTATTATTATTATTATTATTATTATTATTATTATTATTATTATTATATATATATGTATAAATACACATACGTATTGCTTTGGAGGCACCAGCTGGTACGTACCAGCATGTTTTCCAAGTTGGGGGTGGGCAGTTCCCAACAGTTTCTGCAAGTGAGGCTATTGCCGCGGTGTTCACTACACCGTGGACGCGGCCGTGCGGCCGTTCATTTCCTGCATTTGCGAATGCGACTCCTGCAAGCGCGCGCACGCATCCCCGCTGTACTGGGCGATATACACTCAGGGCGCGGTAGAGGTGACAAAGGGCAAGGAGTTGGTGCAGAAGTATTGCCATGAAGGCGGCATCTTGCTTGCAACGCACCTGAATTGACCTTTGGGTCTTCTTTTGGTTTAATTTTGATTCCCTCGTTGTCCTTTTTGTACTGGAGGGCTATTTTTTATCCACCTCTCTGGACCTTTCCGGCTTTTGTCTTTCCATTTTGCCTCAAGGCTCCAAAAGGGTGATCACCGTGTTGGCTGCTGTTGGGAACAACGTGTGTGTGTGTGTGTGTGTCTTTTCCCCCTTTCCCCAGCCTCTCTGCTAACCCGCAAAAAGTTAACTTTTCCGTGTTGGGCGCAACAAACACCCAGTTAGGTCCTTCGCTTACTGAGGCAACCTTGAGCGATCCTTCTGCTCGCGCTGTGGCACCAAGCTGTGGAATCGAATTGTCGGCAGGGAGGAGATGGGCTTAGGCCGGGCAACAACATGCAGTAGTCCTTGTGATGTGTCTCCAAAAGAAGCATTTCAGATGCTAGGTTTTCTTTGGGGGTTCCTGTTTGGAGACAAAACCCTGATTTCATTTGATATGTTGCATCATGAACCTTATGAAGGCAAAACTGCTGCCAAGATCCCTTCAGAGAGGAGCGGAGTGAGAAGAGGTGCGTATCCCCCAAAATGGGCAGCTTCCCTCTTTGGCTTCCTTTTGAAGCCACCCTCAAAAGTGCACCAAAACTCCAACTTTACTTGATTTTCTCCTGGAGTGTTTAAAGATGTGCAGCAAACGTTGTAGGCGTCTTCCCAGGAACCTTTCATCCCGAGTTCCAGGGCAAGGGTTTGCCGGAGACCTTTCGGCCCACCATACACTTCCACTCGGATGAGAGCATGCTCGCGAGCGTCGGAGACCTGGACAAGCTCAAGAAGCGAATGCCTGAAAGCAAACCGCCTGAGTAGAAAAGGGCATGAGCTCTGTCATTTGTTGGACGAGTTTTTTGTGAGAGGCATCGTTTCGGAAGGCAAACCAAAGCGACACCAGCCGGCCATGTTGGGGGAAGATGGCAAGCTGGCAGTTGCGAGGTATAGTTTTACACCAATTCCCTTGTGTCTCTGGCTGGGGAGAACCCCTCACAAAGAATGGTGAGTGTAATGTGATGTTTGTTTGCCTTTAAACTCTTTGATGGGCGCATTCATGGGCAGGGCACTCATGGTTTCCTGCAAAATAATGCAAACACAATTGGGTGAATTTGGGACACGAAGTGTTCGGATGTGCGTTTCATGTCGAACAACAACGCTGTGGAGCTACTGTAACTGGGACAATTGGCCCAGAGGTCTCTAGCCATCAAGGCAGAAATGTACCGACCAACAAACCAGCCAACCAGCCAACCAAACAACCAGCTTGCCAAGCAAAAGGGCTGCCAAGAAACGCACAACAGCAGCCTGCCCCTCTGCGTTTAGGTTGCACTGGCTGCAAGCTAGCCTTTTGCGTTGTTTTTGAATGTTTGTTGTATGCTTTGTCTTGTGTTGGTGTTGGTGTGATTGTTGACATGTTGTTGTTTGTTCGGTGTGTTTTGTCTGTATTGTTTAATGGTTCGGCATGGCACGCATGTTTGGTTCTCTTGCAGCATGTGTCCAAATGTTTGAATGGTGTTATGTTTTTGGATATGGATTGAATGCGTTCGACTTGTTGGAATGGTGCTTTAATGTTATTGATTTGTTGGAATTTGTTTGGGTGTTGTTTGAGTTCTGATTGGTGTTTGCACGAGGTACAAGAATGCATCGCATGCCCGAGAAGAGACCTGTGCCAGGCATGCGCGTAGCGATTGAGGGCATATCAACAAAAAGGAACACGCCCACACACAGACGAAGCAACCCCTGAAGGCCACACGGCTGGACACCAGCGTTCGTGAAAAGTGTGGGGCCTGCGCTCCCTCTTTCACGAGTGTTTCGTCATGAAACAGATGGATTTGGAATGAAACTGAAGTATTTGGAATGAAACCGAATGTTTCTGATTGTAAAGGACATGTCCTGAATGTTTTGGCAATGCAGCAGCTTGACGTGTACCCCTACCACATGCAAAGCAAGCAACAGCGCGGATTTCAGAGTCGGTATGGCTGAGGACTTCATCGACAGCGATGACCCACCAAATTGTTCACTGCTAGCTTTGTTGTTTGGAATCATGTTGGAATATTTGGGCGCCCTGTCACTGATCACGTTGGGTGTCATCAAAATTATTTGGGGGGGGACTTCTCTTTCAACCACGACGTGACTATTCCTAGTGTCAACTTGTTTTTGCAAAAGGTGATCAAATGCCCCAGGAATTTAAATAGCCATGTTGAACATGGTTTCTGGTAGAGACCAACTTGCTCCCCCTGCTACTTCAAGCCAGAACCCCGAAACAAGCATGTCCCGTGTAAATGAGGGACCCTCTTTTTGGATGGTGTTTACAAGTTTAAAAGGCGAGCCACACGGAAACCAGCCATTTGTGAGGCGAGCGTGGATGGGTGGGTGGGTGTGTTCTTTTCTTAGAGCAGGGCTTGTGTCCCTTTCAGACACCCAGCACACGGGTCCTGTCAGTTGAGAACTGCTCAACAGTTGCTTGCAATCAGGCCGAGTGCGGCAACACCCATGCCCAGCCCCAGCCTCAGTTGGGCAGTTATATTGGCGCACGGCAGCTGACGATCTTGATCTGGCTTTGCGGATACCTAAATTCAATTGAAACTGATGTCTGGGGAGCTTTTGAAACTCATGTGAGCACCCGACCAAGTTCCCAAACAAAGTCGGTAGTATTTGGGTTGTCCTGGTGTTTTCGCTGACGTTCAAAAGGCCGCAGAACCGATAGCGGCCCACCCAAAACCTATGGATCTTTCGGAAGGGTGCTCAAAGAGCGACGAAAAAAAGGCAGTCAGGTTCCATGAAAGTGGGCGGTAATTACTTTGGGAGGTCCCTTTTTGATTGCTTCCTGCGTTCCTTCCAAGGGAGCCCGAGTTTCCGTGTTGATCAAGGATCTGCATTGCCGTTGATGCAAGCACATCGCTCATGAACAACGAACGCTGGTACCCTCAACGTGGCACGTCCCTTGCATATAGTCATTGCCATCGTTTTCCTCGAGCACTTGGCTTGCACTTGTCTAGGGGGTCATGCTGAAAAGCCCACCGGAAACAAACGGAAATACGATAGATGCTGATTCAGCGGCTGCATGCTTATACCTATGCTTAAGAGTGGGTGGCTACGCCACTTTGCTGAGGGGAATGGTTTGGGGGTGGTGGGCTATGAATGGCTCTTCCCCGGATTTTGTGTACTTGAGAGCTGATCAAAGTTCCTGGGGACTTGGGCTGTTTCAGCGAAGAGACCCCTGAGAGGATCTGTCAAAGCGCCAGCCGGATTTTCTCATGGCCCGAAAATCGGTCGGCCAAAAGGAATCGCACCGTGTTAGAGCAACAATCAACTGAGCACTTGGAGGCGTAGAAGCTGCGACTCTGTTGATTCCTTGAAAGGTTCGGGTTAGGCGCCGTGAGACCCCTTCAATACTCAGTTTTGAGTGTGACTCATTTGGAGGTATTTTCCTGTTTTGGGGAACTGTTTGTCGAGGTCCTGGCACCTTGACAGCGTGTTGAGTCAACAATTTCTCAAGCTTGCCAAATCCCCTCGACGCGGCGAAGACACAAAACAATAGAGATATCGTCTTCGCATGGCCGGATAGAGGGCTGTTGACATTTGGCCACAGGCCTCCAGGATTGTCAATCTGAGCTCGGATTAGTCCGGAGGCCCATATCAACCACAAATGCAGGAATGTTCAAAAAATCACTCCCCACTTAACGGGGCTTGCCACCCCTGATTAGTATGGTCCGAAGAAGACGTTACCGATCATCCCCTGTTCAAAGTTACAAGTTCCCCACCAAAATTCCATGGAAGTAGGGGTAGGCTCCCGACTAGGAATGGGTGTCCAATCAGCGAGAAGCACCTGGACTAGTCGCAACTGGAACTCACCCAACTGACGATCCGCTTGAGGTTCAAGCTAGGTACCATGCACTATGAGGGTGACCACGTGGAGCTTGACAAGGCATGGGCTTCATCAAGAAACACATTGACTTGGGATTGGTTGGTCATGAACCACTTATTTTACACCCTGCGTTAAGCAGCCTGGCGGATGAACAGGGGGGTCCCCAAAGAGTAAAGAGATCCGGACGCACCCAAGAAGTCAACTGGGGATGGGCCATTAATCCTGGGTTTCCATTGGCCTCACACCAAACTAACATGGAACCTGATAGTGGGTTCGCCGACACGCATTTCCTCAACGGAGGTTTTGTGGCAACGTGGGTGGGGGTCGGAGTCATTGGCATTTTAGGCAACTTGAAGGTTAAAAGAATCATGGCCATGGCATATATCAGGAGGTTTTGTCATTTCACCTGTGGTTCTTTGGATTCCGAAGAGATACAGCGTCGGCGTTCCATCCTGTTAGACACATGTGTCTGGAATGATGAAACTGACGCATGGCATGTGCCACAGGACTCCCTCCGGAAAGGGGAACCAAGCAGAATGGTTTGCTTTGCTGGCTGTCCTTCAAAACATGCCCAATAAGGGTACCCTCAAAAGAGGCTAACCCCCATTTGTTGCGTGCAAGAGTTTGTGATCATTTCAGGCGTTTGCTGGGCATCGGCTAGGATAGTAGTCCTGGTGAAGGCCCACTTAGAGGCTTGCGAAATAGCGCCTGCCGCCTACAAGAGAAAGTGCATACAAGAGTTTTGCTGGTTCCCATTCAGGATCCAACTAGAACGGATCTTCTCATTTACACCCGCCACCACTTGGGTTTTGTCTAAAACATACAGTTGGAAGTGGTTTTAATTTAGTTTTCCATGAAACTCAACCGAAAGAAAAGGGCCGAACCAATTCCAAAACATTCCCAACTGGAATGAGGCCAGTCGATTGAAAGTTGTGAGTAACTCTGCATGGACAAAGACTTGCCAACAGTCACTTACGAAGAATATGCAGGGGTAGCCCGGAGCCAGTAAACGTTCACCAAACCACAAGAATGAATTGCTTGATCTCCAAAGGGTCAAAACTTAAAACACCCTTGTCTTTGGAGTGGTACGGTCGTGGACTCATGAACGGGAACTTAGACAATGGGGGAAAGGCACGAACATTGGAGCTACACAAAGAAATCGAAGCACTTGATCTTCCGATCCGGAGGCCTGGGCCGACACATTCGGCTTGCGTCAAGGGAGAGTCAGAATCTTTCGAAGCGAGCTCAGGGAGATCATGGGAAATCCGCAATTCCGGTTAAGGAAATATGGTAAGATGGCAAATGACCCAGATCTTTGGCCTGTCTTCGTGTTTCTCTTTTTGCTTCAAGACGCGGCCTCTGATTTGTTCAAGCGTGCCTCACATACGCGCATCCTCCGCACGTGCAAGGCCAAGTCAGGGTACTGGTTCATGCAGGCAGCCCAGTCTGGACTGCCGGAGGCGCAGTACCAAATCTCCAGGACGCTGCGACGGCTCTTTTGGTTTCCCTTCAAATCAACCCCAAGCAATACACCCTCAAACATGAAGCATTGAAGCATCATGACTTTCTCGCTTTGTGGCTTTAAACGTCACCTTGTGGAGAAACCATTTACAATTTACAAAGTGTCCTATCAATTTACTGGGTGATGATTACCTCTGGTTTGGTTTGGAAATGAGGTGACAGTTTTGTATGCAATGGAGCCCTGAGAGCAGGAACGGTTGCGAATTGAACTTGGTGATGGGGTTGATCCATTTCTTACTTCCCAAGTGTCCAGGCTTCATATTGTTTTGGGGAGACTGTTTCGGTGGTGAACATGTACCTCGTTCGGCCAACCAACTCAGGAAGTTAGAGTTTCCTTTGTGACAGCTTGAACTCCAAAGAAAAACACCAAACGTCAAATCAGTCACCCAGCGCCTCCCCACCCCCAGAGAAAATGCAACAACGACAACACGAGTCACCCTTTTGACCTTCCGTCAATGACACAAACTGCAACCCTACTTCAAAGTTGCTGACAAGTGTGCTGCTCCGATGCGCCGAACTGCCGGGTCATAGCTACGAGGTCCGAACAGACGTCCCTTTGGAGGATCAACCAGCTATTTGGCCATTTGATGGGTTTCCCGGTTTCCCTGAAACTGCAACAATCAGGGTGCGAGGTATATGGAGGTATATGGCCTGCTACGTTGCCAACCGTTTCACTTCGCGTTGTGATCAGGGGTTCAAGGTTTGAACTTTTCTGGCCGGCCGTGTCCACTGCCCGGGGAGACGGATACAGCCGCTGTGCAACTGTGTAACTCTAGCCATGTGCTCCATATGTGCCGATGTTACAAGACCTACTTGGTTGTTGGAGATTTTGCAAGCCGTTATAAGGATTCCTTGCGTCAACCATGACCATGGCCCACGTTTTCAACAACCAGCTCTTCCCCATTGGTTTGTGGCGGTCTTTTGGAAAGAAAGATCCCTGTTGTTCTGCCAGTGATTCCATTTGCGTGAACAACAGGCAACCCAGGGAGCCACCCTGGAAAAATTCGAATCGCCAATGGCGATGCAGTTCTCCAGGTAGAAAGATGGTCAAAGCTCGTTTGGGTGCCAAAATGCTCGGTTTTGTTTTGGTTCTGTCGGCGAAGCGTTTGGGATCCATGTCCTGGTAGGATGCTCTTCCAGGGTGATGGTGTTGAGACGGACGAGAAGTACGCCTTCCGCTTTCTGAAGCTGGCAGCAGAGCAGGCGGAGCGAACGGGAAGGAACATGCAGGCAATGAGTCAAGAAGTGTGGCTTCACCTAACTGAGGTGTTCTAAACACAAAAACAGAAGTCCGACAAGTTGGCTCAACACCCCATGTCCATTCGTCTAGGGGTTGGTTCCGCTTCTAGTGAGGGCGTGGCCTCCAGTTTGGATTCACGTCAGTGGGAGGGTAACCCTCGATTCGAAGGGTGTATTCCATGATGTTAAATCATGTTTTTTCACAAACCCGCAGTGTCCCCTAAAATTATGTGTTTTCTGGAAAGAAGAATCCCCAGAAAGAATGGGGGAGTCACCCCTAGATTTGTGGGCTGGTTGTAATGGCTATGAATTCCATTTCGGACCTATCTCAAAAATGTTTGGTAGTTGAATAACTCCTTATGTAATCGATGTCCACCAATCGGTGCCCGATCCTGCACTGTAGTCACTTTCGCGTTCGGGCCGTGTTAGTGGCAAACAACAAAGTGCTGACTTGCGCTTGGCCAATCCCCGCAGAAAGTGAGCTACATAGAGGGTGGTTTTACTTGCGTTTCCCGTGAAAGCAATACGCTAGGAGGTGCCGAATCAACAAGCAAAACACATCCATCCAAATAATCGAAATCCCCTGCCGCTTGAATTCATATGATATACGCAGTGTATGTATATATGTATATATATATATATATGTATCCATTGTTTTCTTTGGAGATACAAATATGAGTATACATACTGTTTCTGTTCCACGATGTCGGGGCTCGGGTTTGCAGCCTCCAGCCTTGACACCGGCTGAGTGACACCGCATCAAAATGTACAAGAACTGCAGGGGACTTGTCCAGGGTATCTCGGCGTTTTGTCTTTTTCTCGTTGGAGTGGACCAGAGTCTGTAAGGGGGAGCTGGGACCAACTTTGCGTGTACTGGCTGCACAGGTGCGTGTGTCCTGAATATGAGAATGCATATGGTTGCTTTCACTGCCCCTTTACTCACAATCCATAAGGTTGCTTTTGCTGACACCTCTTCTGGTTGGTATACAAGGGAAGCCTAGAGGGAGCCAACACAAAAAATATATTTGAAGACCCTTTAGGGGAAGCCAACAGGCCACCAAAAGAAAGCCTTGGGAAAGCCTAGGTCTTGTCGTTTTGCCAGGGCCACCCAGAGTCCATGCACAACATGGGCGCCAAGCTCTACTTTGGCGAGGGCGTGGATATTGATAGGACGACACGCGGCGTGTGTGTGTGTGTGTCAAAACAAATGCCCAGACATGAGTTGCTTGTTTTCCATTATTGGAGGTTCCTGAAAAAGGAACTGCCCACAAAAAGGTGCCCTTTTCTGATGGCCCCCTCGGGTTTGCGTCAAACAGAAAGCAGACTCCCTTTTTGGGGACGGCTGAAGGGTGAAATACCGGGAAGAGGCAACAATGATGGACGCAAATAGAGTGGCCCCCGTTGATAGAAACATCAGAAGCAGTATTGAACATGTTCTCTTGTATTCTCTCCTCAACATCATCCCACTGAAGAGAAACTCAGCCGAATTGTCCCAGCATGTGATGTGTAAACCAGCCAAAGCGGGAAGCTTACCGACCCCATGCGAAAGGGGCACTTGCCAAGGCTCATGAAACTCTTCTCTGATCCTTAGGAGGGCTACCAACATACCACTATTGCCCCAACATACTCTTCCGCATGCGGCCCTCCCAGGAGGGAAGCGGCGTCTTGGTTTCTGAAGGCTGCGCACAAGGAGCCGCTGATGCAACATGTGTCCATCCCATCATCCGGATGTGAGGTTTCTTCAAAAACTCCCCAAAGCCAGGGGAACTCCAACAGAAGCACATTGAATGGCAAAGGCTACAAAGAAAACACAAGGCATAGGTTGAGACCATTCCCCACTAAACCCTTACTTGCCTGGGTTTAGATATTTTGAGGGATAGGTTGGCAGCCTGCAAGCCAGTTGTTGCGTAACTGATCTTTGGTGTGCAAAAAGGTCCAGACTTGCCTTCACGGTAGCCAAACCAGAGCTCGATCAGAAGGGAAAGCGGTGCCCTCCCAAAACAGGAATTCCAGGCGTCCTGGAAAGCATGAGGACGGAGCCCTCTATCGGCTTCCACGTTTTTCTTGGGTATAATCCGTGTGCCGAGTAATTCCCCAAGCAGTCAGAGACCAATTCGATTCTTTCGAGAGTTGCAGTTTGACGTAGTTGTTTCACTTGCAAGTCCCCTCAAAGCGGGGTCCATGTCATGTCCAATTTTTGAGTAGCCCCCACATGGCGCAACCATCTGGATTCTCGCCAGGATCCTCAAGGTCCCTAGGCTTCCTTAAGGCTCCATGAAACCCTTCAAGATGTGTTCTTCTTCGCTTTTGGACCTCCACCGGGACCGGGGGGAGGCTATGCTGCTAGTGGTTATAAGTTATAGCTTCCCCCGCTTAGTTGTAACCAATGGATCTTGCCCTTCTATTTTATTGCAAGCTCATTTGGGGCCAAACAAAAGCTGACCATGATGTAGCTGCCCTACTTTTAGGTTCTAGAACTATTCCAACTTTCTAATTTGAGTGACGGACGGCAGGAGCTGCCGCAGGCGCAGAACAACATCGGTTTCTTGGAATCGATGAAAATGCGGTGTTTGTCTTTGTTTTCGAGATTACCCTTTGTGGTACCCCCAACAATTAGGTGTGTGCGTGTGTGGGTGTGTGTGTGGGTGTGTATGTGTGTGACATGCATGGCATACTTTTCAGCCTGAGCTCAGGGATCTCAATTGAAATCATGTGCAGCGTGAGGTTCACTAAATGTTTAATTCGGACCACCGTCAAAGATACTGTAGTTCTTGTTTGTTGGGGGACAAAAGCCGAGGAAGTACCCCTTTTGGGGCTGTATCAAAGGTGAAACTGAACTCAGTATGGGGTTTGCCCCGAGAGTACCGATTTCGGGCTGCGCGCAACCCAAGCGAAGCAAACAAACAAGCAAACAATCAATCAACAAGCAAACACAGTTATTGATTGGTTGATTGATTGGTTGGTTGATTGATCGATATGACTTGTTTGTTTGTTTGTTTGTTTGTTTGCTTGCTTGCTTGCTTGATTGTTTGCTTGATTAATTGATTGATTGGTTGGTTGGTTGGTTGGTTGCTTGATTGATTGCATTCCTTTCATTTTGTGTGCTTGCTATGTATTTCTTGTTTTCTGTGTTTATCAATGTGTCGTTATTTTCGTTGTTTCTTTGTGTCTCTCTTGGGTTGTGTTATTCGTTATGTTGTTTTAATGATGTCCTTCTGTTGTTCCTTCATTTTTTCTTTCTTTATTTGTTTTCTTTATTGTGTTATGTCTTTCTTTCTTTCTTTCTTTCTGTCTTTCTTTCTTTCTTTCTTTCTTTCTTTCTTTCTTTCTTTATTTCTTTATTTCTTTATTTCTTTCCTTTATGACGTTCTTTGTTTATTTCTGTCTTTCATTGTATTTGTTTATTGATTGATCGTATCTTTCTTTATTCTGTCTTGTTTGCTTTCTTTCTGCCTTCCTTTTCGCCTTCCTTGCCTGCCTGCCTGCTTGCCTGCTTGCTTGCTTGCTTGCTTGCTTGCTTGGTCTGTTGGTTAGTTGGTTGGTCGGATTTTGTGTTGCTTTGTTGGTGGCTCCGCTTGCGTTTTCTACCATGGGCTGGCACGGCCGCAAAAGCTTATTTCCTTCAGAAACTCACCACGCCAGCCAAATAATAGGCACACCCGCTCGGGCCTGAAAGCCTGAAATTTCAGTGCGTTTGAAAGATTGCTTCGGACCCCACCTGGATCTGGAAGCGACAGAAATCGCCTCGGTGTTTTCACGCGTTTACGGGTCGATGGAGCGGTGTTGCTTTGTTGGGGCACGCTTTGAGCCTGAGGTTGGATGCTTTATACAGGGGACGGCGTGCCCATGAACATGACGGACCGCTGCCTGCGTCAAGTGCTGCTTTGTGTGGAGATACATAGGCCCGAATCAACGACGGTGACTAGTCACCATTTTAGACCCTGGGCGGGGTGTCAGTGAGGCCTCAGGTTGCCATGAATGTTGGGACAGACCGGTTCTTGTCCTCCTGATTCCCAATCGGCATTGTTTAGGATGGCACCCTCCATTTGACCCCGGTTTTTTGTGAATCAGGGTTGCTTCGTTCCTAAAAGATGACCAAACTCTAAAGGTATATAGAGTTGCATGGAGATCTTTGGGTTCCTTCCATTGGCCAATGCTCTGCCCTTTTCCTACCATTGCCGATCGAGTCTTTAACGCAACTGTGCAAGTGGTTCAACGCAACTGTGCATATGTTTGTCAACTCTCTTTTTGTAAATTCAGCGGACCTGACATCAGAAAACCCCAGCGCCTTCCAACCTTTTAGGAGGGCGTGAACTGGATGGAGCAGGCGGCTGCAGCTGGAAACGAGGAGCCAGCTGCCTGCAAACGCTCGACGACCTTGAGACCCTCACACCTCGAGTGCTGCCCTTTGTTCCTTGGTTCTTTTGTGGGAGCAGGTTCCCTTGAACTCAAGGACCCCCAAAGCATGTGCTTCCTACCAGGAAAGCGAAAGGAGGTTGTTTAAACCAGCGTGGTTTCAGCATGTTTGAACAAGGGGTTGTCCCAGCCCCAGAGTTGGTTTTTCAGAGGTCCCTCCATATGGGCAAATTCCCACGAGCTCACGGATTTGGTGGTAAAACCAGCTCATGATGAAGGTCCTTTACTTGGGGGGTTCCTGGTTTGAAATTTTGTAAATGGTAGGCATTTGCCAAGCTCAATTGTTTTTGCTTTTCTTGTGTTTGGAAGATCCAACATGGAGTTGATGTATTTTGGAACGGGAAAATGCATTTGTGAACCATAAAATGTGGCGCGCGTTCAACTTGAATCATGCGGAACGAGTGCGTCTTGTGGAATATTGGGCTGTCTGGGCAAGTAGGTGACAACAAGAAAGAATAGTCTGAAGTGGTTGGACCTCCAGGTGCTCAATCATGGGATGCACAGTTGAAAATCCATGAGGCCACATCGGGTAGAGTAGTCTGGAGTCAGAAATTGGTGGTCCGTGATTGTGCTGTTTTGTTGACGCCTGGTTTGGGGTTGGTAAGGGTGGATAGTTTGATCTGTTTGGTGTTGCTTTGTTTCTTTCAGGGCCAGTTTGGGGTTTAGACGTGTTTTTCGGTCAGCTCTCGGTTTGCTTTCCTGGTTCGGGCTGGGTCAAGGTTTGCTTTCAGGTAGTTTTAGTGTCGGTTTCGGATATATGAGGTTTAGCTTTGGTTGTTGGGTTGGCTCCCATCCCGTCCTTTTCTATCCCTTGTCACGTTGCTGCCCGTCGCTTTGCGCTGCGCCGGTCCTTGTCCTTTCCAGCTTTTCTGCATCTTGCCGTCGCTTGGCACTGTTCAACTCGCCCTCCGCTTTTTTCCCTATGTACATACCCCTTCCGAGACCTCCACCCTTTGTTCTTTGTTTGTTTCCTTCGCGGGGGTTCCCTTCTAAGTGCCAAAAAGCGGTTCCCTTTGCGCTATGGCCACTGGGGTCTGGGCATTTCTGGCTTCCCCGCTCAGCTGTCCAGTTGCAATTGCCGTTTGCATTTTCCAACTGCACTGTCATCCCAGGAAAAGTTAAACGCATTTGAGGAAGCTGTGTCATGAGCAACCAGTGCAGAAACCACGGCAAACACGTTCTGAAATGTATTGCGCATGTGCCAAAGGTGAAGAGTAAAAAGATTCACAACGTAGGTTGATGTTGCCCTTTGGACCATCTGTTTCACAGTTTCTCAGCAGCCTTTTAGGATGCCTCAGCTGTTTCAAGTCGGGTTCCTTACGTGTTTCAATTTGGAGAAGGGCCGCGGTGATGTGATTGTCGGTAGTTTGCCAATGCCATTGGCGTCCCACATGTCTACTGGGAAACCAGCGGGTTTCGAGTCAAACTTGAAAGACTTCTTCAAAGAGACACGCCCAGTAAATATGGGATGCATGATTCTCCCATGATCAACACTTGATTTAGCTTTATCGTACCATACAGTGCCCCACAACCCCTATTCTACTTCTTTCTTCTTCTTTTTTTACAACCCTTGTAGTACCTCGTTCTTTCAGGATCCGAAAAGGGTGTTTGGACACCTACTACCAGGTATTTCATAGATCCATTTTGCTTGGTCCTCGTCTGTCAGGAGGCTCAGCAGCACCTGCTTTCGATCCGGGGCACCATGGTGTCAGGCATCGAATTTCAGTGGACTTGGACTCCTCAACCGTTTTGTTCAGCAACCAGACAAGCAAGAAGGCAACCTTTAGGGAAAGTAACAGGATGTTCGATGTTCAGCTGAAAAGCATATTTGTTGGTAAACATGCAATTGAACCTCGTGGTTTGCTGAAACAAGCCCAAATGCTTTGACTCCCTTCTCTGAAATCAAGCTTGACTTGTATCACGTGTTTATGTCCTTCGAGCTGTGGCCTCAGTTTCCTTGGCTTTTCTTTGAACGTGGGAAACCATGAACCGACCTCAAAAACGGTGCGTCTACAAAGACATATAGCAATTTCAATTATTTGATGTGTTCCTTCGCACGTTGCCACGGAACCTGACTTTGGACTCCGGGTTTGGACATTTGAGTTGTTTCGCCACTGGTGGTTCCATAGCAATGTGGGAGGGTATGAGAATTTGCTCAAACCGGGCCGACCCCGTGCGTCTAGTTAAACAGAGCGGGTAGCCGATGCAAAAACCCTGGAAAAAACCAAAGAAAAATGGCCACTGACCGATTACCTGCTATCGTGCACGTTTCTGGAAGATATGTTGTCATTTCGATACAGCAACAGACAAGTAATCGAGTCACTCTTGCCCCGATTGTCTTTCAGGAAGTCACAATGGTTGAAAAGGAAGAGGAATCAGCCCCCCGAATTCATCAATGTCTTGTGGCGGACCATGATTTGGCGATCTCGCACGTGACCAGCTGCTGGCTAGCACTAGGATGGGAGGCTCCCATTGTTGTTTGAACTGGTTTTCAAGTTGAACGGAAGCAGTTTAGCAGGGCATGGAGGCAGTTGCGAGTTGTGTCAACCTAGGGCCCCTCTTGGTCCAGTGACAAAGGAAGCGAAAGCCAACTCAGGAGGCCGTCAACTTAGCAAATGATCAGCAAGTACTTTTGTGATTGCCACATTCGACGTATCTAACCAGTTTCCAACTAGCCGACATGGTTAACGAGAAAACATATAGGTTCCCCGCTGGAAGCCTAAGCCTGGCTACGGAAAGTTGGGACTCATGGCCCGCTGCCAGGTTTTTGAAGGAGAAGGCCGCGAAGGCCCATCCGGCACCCTGCACCAATGCTCAAGGAACTTGGCGCTGGCCGAGTGGAATTGTGCTCCAAGTCTCGAAGGGATGATCTAAATTAGGGCAGAGCAGTGGTTTTGTTGTCCGCCTTGTGGCGATCGAGTCTTTGGAGCAACCCAGGGGAAGAGGGGCCAAAGATCGCGGCCCAAAGTGGCCGCGCAGCTCCCTCGCAACCCGTCGGGTCTCAACGCGCGGCGACTCAATCAAAGCAAGCCTCGAGCATCCCGGGCCGCTGATTCAGCGGGGGTATCCCGAGCCTGCGTTTTGTGGAGGGTTGGGCGCCCAAGAAGAGAAGAATGCACCACGAAATCAAGATTGTACCTGTATTCTCTTGTCTGGCCCAATTCAATCGCTACATCATAGCAGTCACAACAGTTGCGGTTTATGACCTCGGTTACATGATGAAAGCTTCTTTCATGCGGATTCCTTGCTTCAGGAGAGGGATTGTAACTTGACCTTACCACTGATTAATTTGGATAAATGTGTCGACGTGGATCGCCGGAATTTGACGGGCTGCTCAAGGCGTTTCCATATCAGCATGGCGATACTGCAACATCGGGGGGCAGTGTGTGAATACTGGCAGGGCCGCTGATTGATGTTTATGTGAACTGCCTGCGCATGACTGCTGATGCACGAACACATTGATTTGTTCCTAGACATGTTGCTTCTGCATCGCGATGAGTTGGACGTCTCATAGTCGGTGCCCTCATGTTGTCCTCCCGTGACCGCAAATATGATTGGCACTTTTGTTTATCAATTTCTGGTTGCCCAATCTTGACCACTCTGGCACCTTCAACCCTTTGTTTAGGGCCAGAGAGTCAAACTACGAAGGGCAAGCTGCTTGCGCTGTTCCCAACGGGACACGCTGACTACGTTTGAGGCACAGGTTGAAGCACCTTCCCGAGAGCGGCGCTGTGCGGGGCCCCAGACGGTGTGTCGTGAAGGCAAAGCACGGAAACCCAAGCGTCCGCACTTTCCAAGGGCTAAATTATGCCCTATGGGTCATGGCATTCTTGGGATAATTCAACCAACAACTAAGGAAGAACAGCTCCCCTTCGGGAAACACGGAAGCCCCCCTCCATCGCACAATGATAGCTTCTTCCCATCCAGAAACCCAAGTCCAGAAGCAGTCGTAGGATGCTGGCTTTCGAGGGACCATTAAGGGGCTGGGGAGCCTTGTTTGTGAAAGCCAGGCGTTGTGTTGTCGATTGGGCATTGTTGTGCAAACGAATGCATTGCAACACTTGCCGCTTCAACTTTAAGAGTTTTACTGGAGTCTCTGTTGAGTTTACCTTCCCATATAGTGTTTACACTAAACGGTTCTTACAGTAAGAGGTAAGGCTGGGTTAGATCGAGGGGGTGCGCTCAAAGTGTTGCCCGCGTGCGCAAAAAGTTGGCTCCGATGCGACAGCCTCGCACGAAACGCGCCTCTTTGCAAAAATGCGGGGCGTGGGGTGACGCGGGGTGACTCTATGTTTCTTACCGGGGCTACGCTTGAGCAGGGGCATTGAAATGTTTACGTGGGGGAAGGTGTCAGAGTTTATCTTTTGTGCGCCTAGATAATTTGTTTTAAGATCCACTAACTATGTAACGCAGTCAAATGTATTGTTCGCTGAGGTAATGACTGCCGTTCTCCGCAGCAAACTGCTAAGGCAATGGCTTTGGGCTTTCTGGTCGGCTGTGTAGTCCGGGCGCGCTGCTCAGAGCGCAGAGTCGACCGTGGATGCCAACCAGACATGTCGGGGCTAAATAGGTACACGCCTTATCTAGCTGTTTGGGCATCTAGAAAGTTTGTTTTAATTGGGAAATGGGTCTCCCAATGTATTGAAGGTTTCCTACAGGTTTCCCGTGAGCTTCAGGGCCTGCAATCCCACACATGCACAAATTTCACACACTTCCCATGCGTTTCTTACATAAATTCTGCAACACCTCATAAAATCCTCCTAGGCATTTGCAACGCATGTGCCGGAGCCAAATAGAACTGTCGGAACTTACATTGTTTGTGTGGTTTCATGTGCTTGGCTTGCTTGCAATGTTTGGCGCATGTCGGAAAGGAGCTGTCCGGCGCGTTCTTGACAAGCTGGCGTTGGTGGGGAAGAGTTTCTCTGCACTTGCAAGGTAGTAAATGTGGACCACGGGCTACTGTAGAAAGATTAATGATGGAAGAAGTCACGTACAAAGACCTCTAAATCTATTCTCTTTACCATTCTCCTCGCTACCTCGGATGCTGGAAGGTAATACAAAGGAGGAAGAATGTAATAGAAAGAGAAAGGTAATGAGAGAAGTGAATTCTAGAGTTATCCCATCCTTATCACTCCCTCCGTCTCATCCTTGTGTCTGGAGTCACCGGTAGACGGGAGTGATAGGCTGAGCATTCGCTTACAACTTACCTTCCTGTTCCTCTTCTTTACAGCGTCCGGAGCAACCGATGGACGGTGAGGAAATGCGTTCATGTTTGTTATCTCCTTCACAGTGAGGAAGTGGTTGAAGTGGAGGTATAAATGCATCTCTTATCTTATTTCCAAGAATTATTGAATATTGGCTGGTCTGGAGACAGGAATCCTAAGGAGGAGATATTAATAGAAAAAATATGATGATATAAGATTGCTTGAGCACCATTTCCTTTCCGTGTGTTTCTTTGCTTGTTTGTGCGTGTGTGTGTGTGTTTGTATGTTTGTGTGTTTGTGTGTTTGTGTGTTTGTGTGTGTGTTTGTGTGTTTGTGTGTTTATGTGTTTGTTTGTTTGTGTGTGTGTGTGTTTGTGTGGTTGTGTGTTTGTGTGTTTGTGTGTGTGTGTGTTTGTGTTTGTGTGTTTGTGTGTGTTTCGTTGTTTGTGTGTGTGTGTTTGTGTGTGTGTGTGTGTGTTTGTGTGTGTGTGTTTGTGTGTGTGTGTTTGTGTGTGTGTGTGGTTGTGTGTGTGTGTTTGTGTGTGTGTTTGTGTGTGTGGTGTGTGTGTGTGTGTTTCGTTGTTTGATTGTTTGTTTGTGTGTTTGTGTGTTTGTGTGTTTGTGTGTGTGTTTGTGTGGTTGTGTGGTTGTGTGTTTGTGTGTTTGTGTGTTTGTGTGTTTGTGTGTGTGTGTGTGTTTGTGTTTGTGTGTGTGTGTTTGTGTGTGTGTGTGTGTTTGTGTGTGTGTTTGTGTGTGTGTGGTGTGTGTGTGTTTCGTTGTTTGTTTGTTTGTGTGTGTGTTTGTGTGTTTGTGTGTTTGTGTGGTTGTGTGTTTGTGTGTTTGTGTGGTTGTGTGTTTGTGTGTTTGTGTGTGTGTGTGTTTGTGTTTGTGTGTTTGTGTGTGTTTCCTTGTTTGTGTGTGTGTTTGTGTGTGTGTGTGTTTGTGTGTGTGTGTGTGTGTGTGTGTGTTTGTGTGTGTGTGTTTGTGTGTGTGTGTGTTTGTGTGTGTGTGTGGTTGTGTGTTTGTGTGTTTGTGTGTTTGTGTGTTTGTGTGTGTGTTTGTGTTTGTGTTTGTGTGTGTTGTGTGTGTGTGTTTTTTGTGTGTGTGTTTTTTGTGTGTGTGTGTGTGTGTTTGTGTGTTTGTGTGTGTGTGGTTGTGTGTGTGTGTGTGTGTGTGTGTGTGTGTGTGTGTGTGTGTGTGTGTGTGTGTGTGTGTGTGTGTGTGTGTGTGTGTGTGTGTGTGTGTGTGTGTGTGTGTGTGTGTGTGTGTGTGTGTGTGTGTGTGTGTGTGTGTGTGTGTGTGTGTGTGTGTGTGTGTGTGTGTGTGTGTGTGTGTGTGTGTGTGTTTTTGTGTGTGTGTGTGTGTTTTTTTTTGTGTGTGTTTTTTGTGTGTGTGTTGTGTGTGTGTGTGTGTGTTTGTGTTTGTGTGTGTGTGTGTTTTATGTGTGTGTGCGAGTGTGTATATGTTTGTGTGTTTGTGTGTGTTTTTGTGTCGGTGTACGTGTGTGTT